TTAAAGCAGAACAGGTTCTGTTAGACTTGATTCCAATATATAGTCGTTTGTGCACTGTCCGACTAAACAGGACAATCAGAATTCAAAAAGGTAGGGGCACACTGCGTTATCTCTGCCTATGCTCTCACCGATTGCAATTTGAATGAAGTTAAAGATGGATTTTATGGGGAGCTGTTCAACCTTCTTCAAAAAGCTAAACGCTCTGACTCAGTAATATTGGTAGGTGATTTTACTGCTCAAGTACGTAGACTAAATCAAATCGAAAGGCATTCAAACAAACATTGTGATGTTGCTACTCAACGAGCAGAATGGCGGCCATCTGAAAAAATTGATATGGCTGCATATATATATATATATATATATATATATCTTCCTATAGATGTCAACCCACCAACGATGGAAGAAATCAGAATGGCCGTCAGACAAATCAAGAGAGTGGAAGCAGCAAGACTCGACAACATACCAGCTGAAGCACTGGAGTTAGACATCGAAGTAACTATAAACATGCTTTACCTTCTATTTAAAAAAAATTTGGGAGGAGGAACAAGTGCCAATGGTCTGGAAAGAAGGACACCTCATCAAGATTCCAAAGAAAGGAGATCTGAGCAAATGTGAAAACTACAGAGGCATTACGCTACTGTCAATACCAGGGAAAGTTTTTAACAGTGTTGCTGGACCGGATGAAGGATGCAGTAGACGCCCAACTTTGAGATAAACAAGCTGGATTCCGTAAGGATCGATCGTGCACAGATCAAATCGCGACACTACGGATCATCGTCGAACAATCAATTGAGTGGAACTCATCATTATACATCAACTTCATCGATTATGAAAAGGCATTTGACAGTGTAGATAGGAGGACATTATGGAAACTTCTTCGACACTACGGAGTTCCTGAAAAGATTGTCAACATTATCCGGAACTCATACGACGGACTACAGTGCAAAGTCGTGCATGGAGGACAGCTGACAGATGCATTTCAAGTAAGGACCGGAGTCAGACAAGGCTGTTTACTCTCTCCCTTCCTCTTTTTTCTGGTGGTCGACTGGATTATGAAGACCTCGACATCTGAGGGAAAACACGGAATACAATGGACAGCCCAGAATCAATTAGACGATTTGGACTTCGCAGATGACCTAGCCCTCCTATCGCATACACATGAACAAATGCAGATAAAGACAGCCAGTGTAGCAGCAGTCTCTGGATCAGTAGGCCTCAGCATACACAAGAGGAAAACCAAGGTCCTCAAATACAATATGGAGAACAGTAATCCAATCACTCTTGATGGCGAAACTCTGGAAGATGTAGAATCCTTCACATACTTGGGAAGCATAATCGACGAACAAGGAGGTTCAGATGCAGACGTAAAGGCAAGGACTGGCAAAGCAAGGACAGCATTCCTACAGTTGAAGAACATATGGAACTCAAAACAACTTCCAACCAATATCAAAGTGAGAATCTTCAATACGAACGTCAAGGCAGTTCTACTGTATGGAGCTGAAACTTGGAGAACTACAACAACCATAATCAAGAAAGTACAAGTATTTATAAATAGCTGTCTACGCAAGATACTCAACATCCATTGGCCGGATACCATCAGCAACAGCCTTCTCTAGGAGAGAACAAACCAGCTTCCAGCTGAAGAGGAAATTAGGAAAAGACGATGGAAATGGATAGGACATACACTACGCAAATCGTCAAACTGCATCACGAGACAAGCCCTAACTTGGAATCCTGAAGGAAGGCGGAAAAGAGGAAGGCCAAAGAACACATTACGTCGGGAAATAGAAGCAGATATGAAAAAGATGAATAACAACTGGACGGAGCTAGAAAGGATTGTCCAGGTCAGGGTTGGATGGCGAATGCTGGTGAGGGGCCTATGCTCCTTCACGAGGAGTAACAGGCGTAAGGAAGTAATCATACAGCGCAGTTTAATAAGCCACAAACACACGAATCGAATTTGAGTAGACACGCCGATGCGAGCTAGTGAATTACTAGTCGAGTGAATGAATATGATTCAAGCACATATGTTAATGGAAAAGCGCATGATTCGTCTAGCGATTTAAGCTATTAAGAGGAGTGTGTTTGTAGGTTGTAACACGTGATCAGGTAATCATGTTTATATAGTTAATAATACAAAGATATGCAAATAGTTACTGCCCGAACGGTACTGTCTGTTCTAATTTGCAAATATTACAATTTTTTGAAGTATATATGTATATCGTAAGAGATGCAAACGTTCACCATTTTTAACACATAACATTGTCAAACTCAGTAAAACATGCCTTATTTTTGGCCTTTGTAATATATTATAATTATGGACTTATAACTGTAGAGCCTGATGATGAAGTTATTGAAAACAATTGTTCGCTCAAATATTCTTCGTTTTTTAATATTCTATGGGGATTTTTAAACTGCAAAAAAAGTTCGGCAATTAAACATTACGAGACTTAAGTGCTATAATGCCATAATAATAACTTCCTCCTAAAAACCATGATGTAAAAAATGTGTATGCAAAAGGGATGTTAAGCTGAACAGAATAACATACATTGAAAATATCGAATAATACACAATAAAAATGTAAGATCAAGCTACTATTTAAGTTCATATTTGTTTGTGTATGCCCGAGTTCGTATATGTCTGTGAGGCTAGATAAAATAATGATGACAGATCAAAGGTATATGGTACCGTTTTTAAAGCCTATACAAACAGGCATAAAAATACACATAATTTATCGAATTTCGCAATAGATTATGTGAACCTGACGATATGTGCGTACAAAACGAAGAGGAAGAAAAATAATGAAACAAATTATCAGTTCAAATCATGGCTGTATACCGTTGCGGCCATTTAAATCTCCGACCATATCTCTTCATTACTGAAATTTCTTCATTTCCATCGTTGGAGATTGCGACTCACGTTTCGGTAATACGATGGTTTTTGAACGATCTGAGTTTGTCAATTTATCATCACTATCAATGAAAGCTGATTTGACTCGGTCAATGCGAATTAAGCCCATTTTCCCAGCTTTTTGTACAATAAACGTTTATCAGTCATCGCAACCAATTCAAACGAAGTGTCATAATTCTGCTGTAAAGTAGACTGCATTATCTATTCTGATGAATACATGAGTGCTACTATTCAGTTGCTGTGGTACGTATATCCGTCTTTATTGTTATCTAGGAAGCGTTATTTTAAAGTCATGTACGTTTTTGACGTTGTACGTATAGTTAGCAACATCAGTCGGGACACTTTTTGAAGTGAAAAATTCTCTGGGTTAACGTAGGTAGTTCTATGGACCAGCTCTGCTGAACAACAACCAATGTCGTGTTTGATCGTTGTTGAACCCAACATATTCAGAGGAAGCTTACTGGCCATGTTGTCGTTAACAAGTATAGTCGTCAAAGAAGTTTCTAATTACCCATTCAGTCGCTCAACTAAGCCATTCGCCATCGGATGGTAGGTTGTCGTGCGAATACGTTGAATTCTGAGAGCTGATGTGAGAAGTGACTTTCGAATTGAGCTCCTCAATCAGTCGTAATATAACAAGAGATCCAACTCTCAACTAGGGTTTTGGCTATGATCTCGGCTGACATGTCCTTTATTGTCTGCTACAGCTCATCTCGTGAATTTGTCGATGTGTAAAAATGTAGTAGAAGGCATTCGAAATTGGCAGTGGTCCCACCATATTGATGTGTATTATACGATCAAATCTAGTGTCGGTATGACTTTTTGGCGCTTCATGAACGCTCATGTCTAGTTACGAATATGTTTACTCATACAAAGCGTTCTCCGATTAGCTTGACTATGGCTTTTATTACTGGGTGAGACATATTATGTATAATTTTGGAGATCTTTCATCGTGAATGCTTTGGGATAAATAGTCAGCTTATCGACATGTCACACATTACTTTTACATTGCCGAACTGAGCTTCTTCGAATACTAAAGCAGTTGTGTTATCGGGTTAGTCTTCTGAAACGCCGCCAGATTGTGAAAATCGATCCTAGGTGGAATGAGTGCGTTTACCATTGTTCTAGATAGCCTATCAGCTGCTTTGTTATCATTGCCTTTAGTATATCGTATACTGGATGTAAATCAATAACTTCTATTTGTTGAATTTGCCTCTGAGAACAGTGATCTTGTTTGGCGATTAGTGTTTTCGTAAGAGGTTTATGATTTATACACACAGCGAAAATCGTACCCTCTACCATATGTCGGAAATGCTTTATTGCCAAGCAAATTGATAGCAGTTCTCTTCCGATTGTACTATACATTGTGTGAATAAGATTCGATCTACTTGAGAGAAATACTTTCATCTGAAAATGGTTCCCACCTGCAATATAGCTCTTAAGGCCACATTCAATGTGTCAGTCACGGTGGTATAATGCTCACTAGTGTTGAAGACGGCTGGAAGAAAGTTATGGGCTGCCAAACCAAAACGTGGCACCAGTCCTTGAAGTCGCTAACTTCTAGTCTGACGCATGTTGGGAGATGCAGACTACTTGGTTAGGGGTTCGCGTGACTATCGTAACCAATGGTTGGAGACTTGGTGACACGGCTCAGAATCGATCCCAATGGTATCGTTGTATACACTCTTTGTCCTGCCTTAAACCGTGAGATTAAAATCGCTTTATATTTCTTTTTACGAACTACTTTCTTCCTGTACTATATCCTTATACTCAATCTTTCTTTTGTATATTACCACCATTGAAGTGACTACTTCTATAAATTTGGTGTTCATCTTGTTGTGCTAATGAGGTGTGGCAACTTGGACCGATGCATATATATGCCTGGTCTTACGTTGTAGCTGACTGACTGACCAATGAAACATAAATTTATAGTGAATATTTTATAGCATGATTCGAGAACTGGACCTCTGTAATTAAAGACTGTACTCTAAAATCCAATAGAGGGATAAATTATTCAATATGTCGTCTCACTCGTTCGTTTTTACCCAGTGGATCGAGTTATACGTATAGTACGAAAAGATGTGTTTTTTCACAGGAATAATAATCTATTGGTCAAAAATTAGGCTCTTAAAAAATACGCCATGCAAAACTTTTGCAACGAGGTAGAAAAAAACTTAATTGCAGCACAGGCATAATAGGAACACAGTAAAATAGTTTTGACACAACAAATAGCTATCTACTTCTAATAGCGAGATGAAATCTAAACTTGATAATACAGCTTGCACTCTATATTACATTGATAAGAGCAACTAGGACTGTTTAAACGTTATTCTTCAAATAAGTTTAAGATTGTTAAAGAACATAGACTGAGACCGCTGTGAATATGGTGTAAACATTGATGCAAATGACACTGTAGAAAATTGATGAGATAGTGAAGACAGAGTTGGTCATTTTCATGAAACAACAGGCAGATGTAAAGAATCAGTGATTGCTTTGTAACTTTTGTTTTTGACGAGTTATTTCGTCGTTTGACAAATAACTAATAATCATGTCACTGCCGTTTATTATTTTGTAATTAAATGACAACTTTGGTTTCCTAGTATATGTCGATTGATCAGTGAGCCCATCTTGTGATGAGTTTGTATTGAATTAGTCCTGTAACGTAAATATCAGTCCGGTCACCTCAAAGAATTTGATGAGAATGAATGTCTAGACATTATGAAATAAAAAAGATAAATAAGTGTAAATCTTATTTCAACGAAGTATTATGCTAATTTTAATACGAAATTATCAATATTCCATGCACACTGAATCTAATGTAACAATAATATTCTTAAATTCAAATATCTAGTGAATTCTATACATCATTGTCTGTTTCCTTTCAAAACTGATCCGAATAACGTTGAATGTTGGAACTTTTTAAAAATGTCATTATCATCAAGGAAACCAAACAAAACCGCTTCAATTTTATTTTATTTACAAATGATGAGAAAAAAGTGTAGAAAATATTTTGCGAATTAATGAACTGAACTGAGGTTAATTAACAAATAATTCGGTTTTGCGCCAATATAAAATCAATTAGTTATCTAATTCTTATCATCAATAAAATTGGAGAATGTATGTACAGTGTTATAAATAAAAATAAGGAATAAATATCCATTTTTTTTGTAAGGAATAGTAAAGATTCATGTTGTCGAATGAGGACAACGGTTACGTGTATGACCAGGTTGTCGGCACAACCCACAACATCTAGTTACAGTGGATGATGCAGATAAACTACGATCTTTAAAGTCACGATTTTTATTCCTAGAAATTGCACCTAGTAAAAGAGAAGAAATTAGATGGAAATTACACATTGGTTACGTTATTGGTTAAGTATTAAGTTCCATTTACAATTAACATTATTTTTGATAATAAAAGATAAGATAGGCAACTTGCCTCTTGAATTATTTGAAGCTGGAGGAGGCCATGATGGGACATGACCGACAGAGATGTTTGTTTCAGCACTCACTGCTGTTCTATGATAACTGGGTCTTTGTTCAGTACTTGATCCAGATGCATATCGTCTGCTTGAAAGTCCACATACTGATGAATCCGACTGTCCTGATGCTGTATCAATGTGATCTGCCCATTGAAAAAAATTACATCCAGATGCTGGACCACCATCGATATTAGGACGACTGTTTGGACATGCGTAAAAATGACGACCCTTGTTAGACGACTGTTTATTGACAACAAGTCTAGTTTGGTGTAGAAAAAATTAAAAGTGCTTAAGCATCGTAATAGTGAAATCTGATGAAAAAGACGATTCAACATCACAAGTAAATAAACAAAACAGGTCCACAGATTTGATGTTATATAACATTAAGCTTCCGACTAATGTTTTAATAGTACCTTGAAATAAACAACGAAAACACACATAATATTCTTATACTTTTCGGAACATCCTTAAACTATGTGTTCGAGTTAGATAACTCGAAAGAGTTTATGTTTTAATGCAATCCGGATTATCGGGCTTATAAACTTTTAATACTAATAAATAGTGAACAATCTAGCATAATGTTAAAGCAATCAAGATTCGTTTATAAGACATTAGGTAATATACCAGTGAAATGAACATGGTGAACAGTAGATTTTGTGTGTTCCACATAAAAATCATAACAACCTGATGTGTGGTCAGTACAAGTAAGTGTGATTGGCCACTGAGCGTGAACAAACAGGGAATAAGGCTACAAACTATGAAATATGTGAAATCCTTTTCTATAAGTGATATCATCTCTGAACTCTGATTTTTTAATTTAGGGTCATGAATCGTGTATTTGATATAACGTGATCTAATCTATGTATAGTGGTACCAACCGGGTATCCGGCATAGTAACAGTATATTCTCGGTCAGCAGACATAGCAACATGTCGTGGAACGAGGGAAAATAATTTTAATTTGTCCGTTATATTACACATACCTTTAATTAGCATCAAACTAGTATAATGTACTTCAGAACCATCTTATGATTGAAGTATGGAAACAACATCAACTGTAATGTGAAAATAATGATAGTCTTCAATTCGCATGCCAGTAGAAATTTTATAAAAATAACTGGGAAATGCTAATTTCTTTGTTTATCTGATTTTCAACAAAAATAACTAGGTAATTATAGGTAGTTATATTATCTAAATAGTAAACAATGAGACTATTTCTAATATCAAGTACCAATCAAAGGTCATCATCCTATCATATTAACCCTTTCCAATTTCACACGATAAAATAAGGCCATCTCCATAGTTCTTAAATTGTTCAACACCTTCAGATTAAATTACTTTCACGAGCGCTTTATCTTTACTACAATAGTCCAGTGCTCGCAGGTGATTGAATACGAAAATGAATTTCCAATGGAAAAGGGAAATATATGGAGTTTAAAGATATTAGGAAAAAGACAGATATCAATGATAGGAACTGTTTTCCCCTATTCTTTCATTATAGACCTTGTTTCAATAACTAAGTAACTGTAATCAGAATATGGGAATTACATCAGATTAGCTGGTCATTCACAAATTCTAAATCCACTCAATCATACAATTTTAATCTGATATAACATGAGCAATAACTAAATACTTACAATTTTGCAGGCTCTCCACAACGACAAATAACGCAAGGTGAATTAGAGTCTGAAGAACCTAAGCCAGACGTTCTACTACTGACACAATTAGCATTCTCAGATACGTTTTCAAGACGAGAGCATGGGTCGATGATATTCCGTAATGGTCTAATGAACAAGACACGATTAGAAAAAGAACGGTTATTGAACACATACAAATAAAAACATAAGGGATAACTGACAGGACAGTTTTCCCCGTTGTCTAAGTTGTTAATTACAAAATAGAATAATCAAGACAAACGTTTAGTAAAAATTGTTTTCGAATCGCTACAAACAGATAGCGAACTGATTTTAATATAGCCCTAGCCGATGAAGTCTTGAGCGCTAAGATGCCTTAGAAACCATCGAGAAAATCATAATTTTCGTTGGACAAATCACCCTTAAACCATGTTATTTGACAAATCCGACCAATAAATAACAGTAATTGAGGTAGCAGCAAATAAATCTGCCGGCATCGAAACAATTCAGTCCAATGGAGTTTAGAAATAATTATCGTAATTGAAATTACCAACGAACTTGGGGATGATGTTACCACTGAACACGGACAATACTACAGACATTGATGATGAAACACTAAATGGTGTCGAACATTGGTATTTATGTTTTGATTTTTAACGACGACCATTAAATCATGTGGTAAAAAGCCAGTAGGTTGATGTACAAAATAAGCGCCACTGTTAACATAGAATAACTATATGTTTCACGCTACCTATAGAGCAAGCGATCACATAGATACATGAACATCTCAACTATTCTGAAGTGTATCTATCAAGACAAAGAGCAGATACAAGGGCATTGTTTATCTTGCAAAAGCACTCTGTACTTTAATTGCGTAAGGGACACGCTCTGTACAGTATTCAGACTATCCTATTTTTCCTCTGAGTAAACAAAAAAATTCAAATGAGTCTTCAGCATGAACATTTTGTACACACATGATATGAGGAAATGTAGAATACTTTAATCGTCCTCACAAAAGTTACATTTTTTTACTTATCATATCTCAACCATATGGTCTGATCGATCAAATACTCTGAGTAAACCATCTAAAACGACAAACTCATGAATTTAGATCTAGCCATAATTTAGCAGTTTCCCTCACAAGTAGACACAGAAGATGAAGGAGAGGCTTTTATGATAGAAACGATACTGTAATTATGATAATTCTGACGATAATGTTAAGCAAATTGAAGACTAGATAAGTATCACTACCAAGGTTTGACTTGATAATTTCGAATAAATTGAGCATTGGTTAGATTGTTATTCTTGCGTTGTTCCTTTGTACCATTTTAGCTTGGATTAATTTCGATTTGATTATTTATTCTCTGAAGAAGTGGCTTACACTGAGTCACGAAACTCAGAAAATTTAATTTTTCTACTTATTGGGCTATTACAAATATATTTATTTATTTATGAAGATTAGACAGTTTGTATAAAAAATTAAAGCAACTTACACGAAAGTACTAGAATACAAAGGACTTGATTGAGCAATAGTTATTGAACTTGTTTGAGATTTCCATAAAAAGAAATCACATGAATTACCTGTTACTCCAGAACAACGATAAAACAAACGACCTGAAAAACAAAAAGGCTTGTAATAAGAACTAAACTTACAAAATCCTGTTAACAAATTTTCAAGCTGAATAGTGAATAGAGTAATATTACATATGAAACAATACTATCGGTGAGCTGTGATCCTAACCAAAAAAAGAAAATAAACGTTTGTGTGGAACAGATTACACAGAAACCTAACAAAAGAAAATAACGATGATCGGTCACTCATTATCAACGTGACACATATGTGTGTTGGACCAAGTTACTATACCAAATTAGCATAAGATGCGAATAACAAGATGGATTATAAAAGAAAATGAAATAATGTAATGGCAATGACAATGAGAAAGACTAAACATTGAGAACATGTTTCAAAAAGACACAGTAGAAAGGTATGCATAAAAGAATATTGGAATCCAAGATCTACAGGAAAACAAAGATAATATATCTGCACAATTTTAAACGATGTTAAGCCATGTCACCCAAATTTATGAAACACTGATCGCAGTTATCACCCCTACACAAACCAGGTAACCTACAACTACTACTATGGTTTAGGAAATGATTAGTAAGTCAGTCATAGAAAACGTAGGATTCGATACAGCCAAGAATCTATTCAAGGCGTTTTGTTTCATTTAAACGCAGTATGAATTTGCCGAAAAGGGAACCAGATGAAAAGAGAATGATTATACTAACTACAGTGAAAATGGACAGTAAATATGGTTCTAAGAGGATAAATGAAATGGAAGTAATTGAATCTTCAACCCGTAGTAGATAGATTGCTGCCTGAACCTGAGATCGTTTGGTTGAAAGCTGAACAGTTGTAACCACTAAACCTGTCATGAACATTCAATTAAGTAGTAGTGTCGTTAGTTGAATTCCGTAAACGTAAGTTCTTCAAGCAAACCGATTACTAGATCTAGTAAAAATAAACAAATCCTTAAGAACTACCACCCTGAAAAAATTCCAGGTGTGACTACTGTTGACTAGCTTTGAGATGAAATTGTCAAATCCTTAGCAGGAACCTGTGACCTGTAACGTCAAATAAATTGGAAAACAGGCAGTAACTGAAGAAAGATGGTGAGGACCGTGATTTATTGAAGACCCAAGGTCAATCACACGAACTAGTTGTATAAAGATATTATGGTCGTCGACAAGCTTGATTCTGAAAGCAAGAGCGTACGCCAATTAGAAGTTCCTTAATGGGATGAAACAATTGTTAACAGTTCTCACTCGTTTTCGGTTGTTTTCTAAGTCACATCCTTTCGTTATGAGAACTAAATTCAAATTTAAATAAAAGCAACCAGGATTGCACAGTAAATGATTCAGAAGCTTCAATACTAATACTGGTAATAACGATAAAAATAATATAACTAAATAAACATAGTACAAGATCATAGACAGCATTATAACAATCATTTATAAACCTTGATTTGGGCCTGGTTTCTTGACAGTTAACTGAATAGCTGAATGGCCACAATTGCACAAGATATTGTCTGAATCATCAGCCTCTGCATCGTCAACAGATCTTGAGAAATTAGGAGACCGAGGTAGAGTATTATGGGATGAATTATTAGATGTTGGATGTAGATTTAAATAAGGTTTCGCATGCAATAGACTGGAGGAATTATGATGACTACCAATTGTAGTAGATGAAAAAGGAAGGGGAGAGGAGGAATTACGTGTTTGTGATGTAAGAGGATCTCGATTAGCATTGAATTCATTCGAAACTGTTGTTTGTGAAGAGATGGATGAATGATTCACTAGACGAATATGAATTCCTAATGTTCTGCAAATATCTTCATCGCAAAATATACAAGTTATATATCTGTAAAACAGGAATTTGAAAAACAAAAAAACACTAGAGTAACTGGCAGTTTAGAATTTAATTATAAAATATTAATAGAATAGCAGTTGATATACAACCTTGTTGATTGCACACAACGGGAGGATTATATTTGTACTACTCTGAAGTTTATAAGTAGGTCATACTGGTGACTAGTAAATTAGTTAAAATAAATTTACTGTTTTATATTTAATCCTGTTAACAAAGTTCTAATAAGATGTATCATTATCTGTTTAAGTGACCAAATTCAACATCTAATCAGTAGAATTTGATTTGTACTGTCGACTAACTCAACAAAGAATAATGACTAATGTGTCAGTCAAATCTAATTCCAGAGCAGGTTAGCCGTATCTCAAATAGACAATGTATTTGACAAAATTGGCTAGATGAAATTTTAATATGTATGTACAACTAAACTTAGTAACAAAGGCATTAGTACGATCAGGTGAACGTTAGTGGACAAGATAGTGTTTTTCGGATTCTGTGCTACAACAATTATTAAAAAAGGGCAAATATTACCATTTTGTCACTCCAAACTCTTTTTCCGAAACATGACGTGAATGCAAAACAATATATTTTCGATATTTCTGAAAAAGTCAGACAGCACTTTATATAAAGCTCTTTTAAGGTTCTAACAGCACAATAGACGTATGAAGTCTCGAAATTAAAATAAAGGACGCGTCTGGAAAACAATGCTGTTGAAAAACACAAATATCAAAGACCTACAGACCTGGGTGTTGGCTACATTGTTAAGGTACAAAGTCTATCCTACAAAACGAATCAATAAGAATAAATATAACATTTAAGACAGAAGAAAATTCCGTCAAACGTCTACTAACGATTCAGAAAACTAAACAAATTAGACGCTATACTTTCATATTAGGTAACCTAATTAAGGTAAACGAAGCTTCAATCAGAAGTACGTATTACTGCGGGGGGTTGTACATGAATACTGTATGAAATAAAAACACGTTAAAATCCAGAAATAATGTTTGATGCAGAGGAGAATTATCTGAATTTAAAAAGTATAAATCATAAAATTACCATACTTAAAAAAAATGACTACCGACCAATGGAATCCTTGCAATTGAATCTACAAAATAATCTATATCAATGACACCTTTACATATGAACTATTTGAATTCCATTTAGTGACACTAAGTCAATTACAGCACTCCCCACATAAAACACCAGTGTGCTACTGTACAAAAGTGTAAACATAGCAAAATGTAACTAGGAAGGAAATGATGCATGAGGAAATTTATATGAGCATATTTTTTGTGTAACAATATTTGATTACAGTAACAGCCATATAAATTAGTGTACATATGATTTTGAGTGAATGATTATTATGTGACCGTAAGTCATTTATCTTTTCATGAAACGCTGATTATAATCTCCTTAAGAAAAGGTAGATAAAGTTTCATTTTGTAACATCTGTTTTCGAAAACTTTGTGTGATAATTGTTGCACATTCAAGTTTCCCTTCATAAAATTTCTAGACCGAATATATAAAAGCACTTCAACAGCTTTTACTCACTTAGCCCCAAGATCGAGAGTGGGGAGAACTCTCACATGGCCACGTGTACACAGTCACTGCCAGGGAAGTCCTACTCACTGCCTTCTCTTGGCGGGAGTGTTGTTTACAAAATTCAAAGGACGAAGAGCGAATGTCTGGCTCTTTGACCCGGTTAGTGGGTATGGAAGATCCACATAAGAGTTGGAAAACCCTGATTCCAAACCCATAGTGCATATGGGCTTCAGGATCCTGAGGGGACACCCGCTTCGGTTTGGGTACCCGGACAGTATTCTAACCCTCTAACAATTCGAATGACGAAGTGTGGTGCACACATATTTGGTGTCTCCTTGTACCAATATTTTGTATTTAAACAAATAAATAATGAATTTTACTCAGTTAAATATGAAAGAAGTCTTGTAAGAGCATTGGATTAATATTTACGTGATAATGTGGTACAAAGATGAATTTCAACATATCAATCATCACTACCAAAGTATAAAAAATCACTATGTAAAGTGGGAATATGGATGACTGGCTGTATTGCCCTTACGACGCGGTAAGTTATAACATACACTTACTATATATGCGAATTTTCGTCAAGTATTAGCGTAGACAGTTTTCTACAATCAATGTATATTTACCAACACTGTTTACTCCTTGATATCTTTTGTCTGAATGGTATATAATTGGACAATAAGAATATATTCTACTTGAATAACGAATGTATAATAATAATACTTACTCTTTAGTATCATCATCCTGAAAGTAACCATTTGGCAAGTAAAAATTGCGTCGAAAACGTAAGCCTAATTTCGATGGCCTTAACTGATCATTAGAAGAATGAACAGATGAGGAAGGTATGAAGTTTGTACAACGATTGCACGTATTTTCATTTGATTCAGATAAAACACGAACATGAATGACTGAATCTGGAAACCAAATTGCATATCGACAATTAGGATAGCCAGAACATGAGAGAAACCAGCCACCATTACTTGTTTGATTTACTTCATTTGAACTTTGAAAGAGATAGTTATTTTAAATGATTTGTAGGACAGCCATACAAAAGGTCATAGAAAAGACTAATCGGTAAATATTGTGAGAATAGTGTACAAAACAATTTGGATGAAAATAAACTAGGCAATATCAATTACTCAGAAAAAAAATGTAGTTCAAAAACTATGAATGAAGAAGAAATGATTAAATCAGATCATAACAGAACTTATAAGTTCTTTAATGAGATAGAATTCGAGCACAGTTGCCAGTTAGGGAAAAATAACTATGCACAAATTGATTCAATTCCGTAAAAAGCCTTTAAAAGTTTGGCTTTACACTAAATAATCCGTTTTATGAAGAAACATAGGCTGAACAAAAATAGTGTGAAACTTCCATGAATTGCCCGAAATCGCCTGTACATGATATGATGTAAAAATGCTGTCTTCATCATGGAGTATATGAACATTTTGTCCAGATAAAGATTAAAGCCTTAAATAAAAAAAAACTGGCTGAATTAGGCCGGTAGTAAGAGAGGGAATTAAAATTCAACCAGTGTAAATCTGTGTTTGTTATCATGTTGATTCGCTTAGTCGTATCATAAGTTCGTTATTTTTTTTTTTACAACATACAAAAACCTTTTAGTGTGATAATAAAAATACACAGTAATTGAGACCTAAACCATTCCAAATAGGCTAATTTATTTTATTGAAGCAATTTACGACACAAAGTATGGAATAATTTTCTAATGAAAGCTTACCCATAGATACGATTAAAAATTAAGATATTCGTATGTAACCAATCAATATGATATAACAAATTCAGAATTCATGGTTAACAGTAAAACAATGGAAACTATCCTATTAAGATATTACGCTTAAACAAACTGAAATAAAAAACGAATACGGAATTTCATCAAATAGTAAAGTTTCACCTTAATCAGTGAGTAAATTACTAGATAATTATTTCTCAGTTCTTACGAACACACAAAGCATTAACAGAGCTAAAAGTTGTAACCTTAGTGTCCAAAATTATATAATAGGATTTGGAACACATTAACATGTAAGGGGGAGTATCTTTATTGAAGCAAAACAAAATATAGGAAGTGTGGTAAGTGAAAACACTTTTTGACGTTATCATACATGAATATGAAAGCATTAAAACTAACCCAGGATTATTTGAAATATTTGAACTAGTTGTTAACGGACGTAAAGCACTACGTTTCTGACGAAGTACTAGACCAGAATGACAAGTAGGGCAAAATGCAACAACCGGGTTTAAAACGTTGCTTTGATTATGTCCATCAGTAGCGTTATTGACAGCAGCAAATGAAGCCATCTCACCAACACTACCAGATATATCTACAAAAATTGAAAAGGGGAAAAACAAAACAATAAATAATATGTGAAAAATTGTGGCAGTAAATAAATAGTTCTGTATGTCTTCGATGTTGATGCTGACCTCATTAGTTTTACTGGATATACCCCCTAGCTGAGGGTGATCAGTTACCCAACCGCACCGGATCACGAAAGGGTACGCATTCCTTGAACAACTTCCACAAACCCAACACTAAAATAAATTCCGTATATTATTTGCTTTAACATTAACAGTCTAACCAATGCTCAATTAAATGGAAATTAGCAAGTTAAACCTTGATAATGATAACTGCAAGTGTATGGAGTTACACACATGTTTGATTATTCAAATCTTGCCCACGGTCACAGTTCAGTGAAACCGATGACCTAACTTGAAAATAATTCAAAAGTTATTAACTTAATAAACCTATAGTCCATATTACAAGGCTAACACCATATTATTCAAATTCCCCATAATCTTTGACTTTGAACAAGCATTTAATTTATCAGAGTTTATTTTCATTTTTTTCGCCTACCCCTCTTTCTCTCTCTTCACTATCATTGTAACCTGGGATTTGAAATTGATTTTACATTGTTGGTTTAGTTAGTGAACTAACGAAAGTTTATATATATATAAATCTGAAAATACCACTTCGACTATCATAGCATGGAAGCAAGACCACGGATTAAACAGAAATATGTACAATAAAATTGTAACTGGATTTTTTATTGTTGCTACATTTAACGTCAACAGGAAATTAAACTTTATATTTATACATTAATTTTAAAATTTCTCTTCAGACCATGATTTGACATCTGGAACCAGAATTACAAATGAGTTATATATATTAAATAAATTTCGTAACATTCTGGAGTTTAAATTAAATAGGTGTCTGTATATGGGTGCGCAGTGGACTAGGCAAAGAAGCCGAATCATTTAAAAGAGTTATGAACTTCCACTGAATGAGAACGTTAGGAGATCTAATATACACACACACACATCCTATGATACTCAATACTACGGGAGACTGGAAGAACGGTGGTAAGTAGCTTAAGTGAAATATGGAATTCATCTGTCAAAGTCAGACTATTTGATCTGAGCCATGGCCAAAACCACAGATTTCCTGTTCAAAGATTAAGTAAGAGTCGCACTCTATGCCTGAACAGTTAGTGGAACAATTCAAAATCGGTCGGAATAGTGTGTATGTACACATAATCTTGACCTAAAGTTTGAGTCATTATATTATGCTATACATTTCAGTTTTCAATTTATATATATATATATATATATATATATATATATATATATATATATATATATATATATATCCTATGTTACTCAATGACTGATGGATACACTATCTGTAGCCAGTTAACCGTATCCATTATGTTCATGGCATGAAAGTAACTTACTTTGAACGTTTTCTGCTTCTTGTTCCAATCGAAGAGCTAATGCCCTGTCTAGGAATGACGCCTGATTTAGAGCTAAACGAAATAATTCTTTGTACTTGTTCAAATGATGATGTAATACTTCTGAAAACAATTTTTTTTAGAGTAGAAGTATAACATTTTAAAAGTGAATTCATGGATAGATAAGTAAAGAACAAAATCAGCATACAACAATAACAAACATAAATGTTGGTTTCCTTTCGGAAGTGTTCACGTCTTAAAACATTAAAATTACAGGGTCGCATTTTCAAAGACTTTTCATAATTAAATGATACTTACCGGAGAACCTATGAAACTGCATAGTAAATACTAATGTGCATTTGTGATGCAACGCAAAATTGAATATTTCCTCGATTTGATTGACTTGAGAATTTACAGATTACAATTCAAAACTTAGAATATTTATCTATATACAAGTCACTAGTAATTAGTGAATTTCTATGTAGTCAGATGACTGTCGATAGTTGTCACTATATTAGAAAACACGTTCATCATCGAAAGGGATTGACTAGCTAAGCGACTCAAAATGAAGAATGAAGATTTTTGGTTCAAGAACAGTGTAGGTTTGAGAATGTGCACTGCTAATAGATCTGAACTAGCACGAAGCAGTAATTAATCCTGATATTTAAATACTGTTTTACCCCTAATCAGTGTGTGATGAAAGCAATTGTCTAATTGCATGAATCCTTTAAAAACACTTAATTGAAGTAGTCAAACTTTTTTTTGAGGTATCTAGGGTGGGGATTGAAATGCAATATGAATAAATCCCTTTAAAACTTAGAACAAAACAAGTGTCATGTATTCAACTTCTTTTACTACGAATTGCATAAAATGATTACATATCACAACGTTCATCTAAGTGTTAAGTTTATTTGTTCACTGATAGTTTGGTCGGAAAATGTATATATTCGCAGACATAAACCTCAATAGTTTTGTTTACCTTCATGAATTTTTCTTATATTGGATAGCAATTATGGGAAATATACTTTTGGTTTTAGATTAGGTGATGATGGCTAGTCCACCATACAGTCAGTCAATCAGTCAGCTACAACGTAGGACCAGGCACATGTATGCATCGGCCCAGGTTGCCATACCTCATTAGCACAGCAAGATGAACACCGGATTCATAGGAGTGGTTAGGTCAAAGGTGGTAATATATATGAGAAAGATTGCAACTTTCTTCCAACCATCCCCTACACCGGTTAGCATTGCACGTCGCGGTAATCGGTGTTCAGGCATACGTAATACGTGGCCCAACCATCTCAGTCGATGAAGATTCATAACCTCATCAACTGATTTACCATCATTCCCTAATACCCTGCGTCTAACCTCACTATTACTTACCCGGTGATCTCAACAGACGCCAGCAATATTTCCAAGGCCTCTGCGGTCAAATACTAGTAGCTTACGAGTATCTTCTACTCTTAATGGCCATGTTTTGCTGCCGTAAAGTAGAGCAGAATGAACTGCCGTGCAGTATACTCGTCCTTTTATTGATAGAACGATATTTCGCCTTCGCCATAGGTGACGTTTTTTTTTTTTAGCTAAACGAGTTTTTCGAGTTCGTGCAGAGATTTCGCCTGACACCAACTCATTAGGGCTGATCAGACTTCCAAGATAAGTGAAGTTGTCGACACGCTCAACTACTTTAATCCCTATCCTCAGTTCAGGTGTTGACACAGGCCAGTTCTGAAGTAATAATTTGCTTTCTGATGGGGAGAAACGCATCCCAAACATTCTGGCATTGTTGCTTAGTGCTACCAAAAGACTCTGCATTTTATCAGCGTCTTCACCAAACAGAACTATGTCGTCTGCGTATTCTAAGTCGATAAGTGGACCTCCTGGAAGGAGATCAATACCCTTTTTTTTTTTTTTTTTTTTTTTTTTTTTTTTTTTTTTTTTTTTTTTTTTTTTTTTTTTTTTTTTTTTTTTTTTTTTTTTTTTTTTTTTTTTTTTTTTTTTTTTTTTTTTTTTTTTTTTTTTTTTTTTTTCCTGACTCGACTAGTAGTGTTCGAGTAAAGAGCCTTCACAAGGTTTATGTACTTCTGAGGTACGCCTTTCAATGACAGACACTGCCACAGAGTCTCGCGGTCTACAGAGTCAAATGCTGCTTTTAAGTCAAGAAAGACCACCATCGTCGGACGCCGATAGGTATGCCTGTGTTCTAGAACCTGACGAATGGTGAATATGTGGTCGATGCAGCCACGACCAGGTCTAAAGCCAGCTTGGTTCTCTCGTGTTTGTAGTTCACGAGTCTTAGTTAGGCGTTTGATAATTATCGAGGCCAGTATTTTAGATACTATGTTTGTTAAACTAATCCCTCTGTGGTTGTCACAGGATGATTTTGACCCTTTCTTATATATTGGGACGATAAGTGATTGCGACCAGTCAGATGGGATAACGTCTAACTCCCAGATCTTAGCTAAAATATTAGTCAACCTAATCGCTAAAATTGGACCACCATCCTTAAAGACCTCTGGAGCCAATCCATCTGGACCAGCTGCCCTTCCTCGTTTCAGATTAACTATAGCCTTCTCAACTTCAGCAAGAGTTGGGGGACCTACTTCAATGTTCCATTCACTTTGTCTGGGAATGGAGGGTAGTTGTAGAGTAGCTGAAGGCCAGCTGAACTGTTCTCTAAAATGTTCCGCCCATCGTTCTAAACGTCTGGACTGGGAGCAGATGAGAGTATCATCTTTTTCCGAAATAATCTCACTTACACTTGACTTTTTTATATCCAGTTTTTTTATTAGTCTGTAAAGCTGTCTTGTGTTCCCTATAGTCGCCGCCTTTTCCATCTCTTTTGCTTTCGTTACCCACCACTGCTCACGGTCGTTCCTTAGACTTTTTCTTAACCTAGATCTGATTTGTTTACGCTCTTCATCATGTTCAGAACCTGATGGGACGAGTTTGCGAGAATCCATCAGTGTGACAGACCTTGAAGAAATCCACTGGTTCCTTGTAACTCTGTGGTTTAAGTCACTAATAGATGTCACTGCTGTTTCCACAGCTGCTTGTATGCCCTTCCAAGCAACATCTGGGTCAGCCTCGTCTTCACAACTACCTAAGTGTGACCTCAGTTGTTCCTGGAACCTACTTTTGGTTTTCTCGTTACTCAACTCAGTTCTAATGGGTCTTTTTAATGTGGCTTTTTTGCGTCCAGTGAGGCGCAAGCAGATGCGTGCCCGTATTAGGGCATGGTCGGAGTCCAAGCAGGTACTCCAGAATGAGCGACAATCTTCTACCGACCCTCTCCAACGATGACTGATGGCAATATGGTCTATTTGAGTCCATCGTTGGTTTGGTGTAGGGGGTCGCCATGTTAGACGATGTCTCTCCTTATGCTTAAAATTTGTGTTTGCTAAAAATAAACGATTGTCTGAGCATAGCTGCAGCAGACGATCACCATTATCTGTTCGCTGTGTCGGAATACTAAAATATCCACCTAAATGCCTTTCTGTTTGGTTTAAACTGCCTATCTGAGCATTAAAATCACCTGCTACGAGTACTATGTCTGAGCGTTTAGCTTTCTGAAGAAGTTCGGACAGCTTTCTGTAAAATTCATCTTTCACTTCATCTGAGCTGCAGTCAGTGGGAGCGTAGGCAGAAACGACAAAAAGGCAACGACGTGTGTCCCTATCCTTCCGAGTTCTTACGTAGCCGTTCAGCCGAACAGCACATAGACGACTGTTGACGGGGATCCACTCTAGCAGTGCTTGTTCGGCCCTCATGCTTAGTGCTATGCCTACACCTGCCAGTCCACGAGAACTTGCCATCGGGTCACCAGACACACGAAGGGTGTATCTCGTTGGCTCTCCGTCTTGCCGAGGTGAGGTCAAGTGAATGACCACACTGGAATCCTGTATGCGTGTTTCGGAGACACAGCATACATCAATGGAAAGAGACTCTAGGGTTTTAGCCAAGGAAGCCTGCTGACCGATTTGACATAGGGTGCGTACGTTGAAGGCTCCAATGTGTAGTTTGGAGCGAGGTTTCAGTAGACCTGGGACAGTGTTTTGCGCACTAGAATCGTTGGCTACGGTGACACTTGAGGTGGAAGCCGAGAGAGGAAATATAGAGTTGAAAGTCGATGTAGGAGGAATAATAGGAATTGAAGAGGAGGTTGATTATGAATACAGTGGTCTTGAGTGCTGTTAGAAGTATGAGGGCGGTTATCACTTCCCGGTTGCCCACACCGTGGAAGGGTTGTTCTGGAGGTACCTGAAAAGGAAATTGGATTAGAAGTGGTCTTAGTGACCTGAGAGCGTGACCGCAGTGCCCAAGGGACAACTGCTTGAGGTCGGTCACACACGACCTTGTTATGGGTAATTTTTGTGTTAGCTCCGTACTTATTGAGACCTTACCGCCGGAGACGGATATCCGTGGGATAAGGCGAGGTGTGCATTTTTAGGGTCGACCTTTTCTAACCCCACCCCTCCTTGTGGGAAGGCAGCATCGCTGTCATGCTGGTTGTCTGAAGGAAACACCTTACTGCTGTCACACCTCTGTACAGTCAGCAGTACGACTTCGCCTTCGGACCTTGGGTTTGTTGCTTTTAGTCTTACCGCTCTTCAACCGACCTGTCTGACATGGTAGGACCTTGAGGAACGGTTGTTCCAGCCAGTATAGCTCGGTTGCTTCATCACGATAGGCAAGCCCGACCACCACGTCAAGGTAGCAACAACGGTCGGGTCCACCATACACATTGTCAAGCGTGGCTGAAACCCGGATAAATCAATCTGAACTTACCTGTTTATGTGGGCGTATATAACAAATGATTTAAACATGTCATTGATGTAAGTCCTTTTTCCAAAGTTGTGACTAATTATCACAAGCACTAATCAATCACTTGCTTGTCCTACATTATTATAACCAATTCAGACTGGAATAATTCGATTAACTGATCAATATAATTTACCTATCAACTAAGACGAATACTGAATAAAAAAATTAGATTACAGTCCTACTAGTGGTCAGATCATTTAGTTCAGCTGCCAAAACAGATATGATACAAGTGATTTAGAGATGATTTGTCAAATAACTGAATCAATTCAACTTATGTAAACTCTTAGTCAACTCCTGTTTCTCAACGGTATATGTAAAAACTAAACACGAATTAAAGAGATTGATCTCAATTACAGGAGTAAAAATTACTGGGGACCAGGTAAAAAGTTTAAGAAACAGATTCCTTTAAAAGTAGATGTTTACTTACCTTCTTTTGTTTTTCGACCTTCACATATTCTTAAAACAAAATTGAAAAAGTGGTTACTAGATAGGAAATGAATGTTCCTAGAGAAAACCTATTATATGGATCAACAAGAAATTTTACGTACATCGGTAAAAAAATTGAAGGATCCTGTTTAGTTGTAGCAAAGTAAGATGGAGATTAATCCAAACTATGATGATCGATTCTGAGACATACTTTACCAACAAATTTATAATGTCTTCCGCAGCCATGGCAGAGTGATATTGATTCACTTACCTTTAAATAATCAGGTTTTCCAAGCTTAAACTTTGATCTTACCTATTTTGGTTTGGGTAACCGGGTAGTGTGTTATCATTCATCTATATACAAGTTTGGGATAAGGTTGAGGACACGAAGTTAATGCTCTATCGAAATCCGATTAAACGAGTACAGTTAACCATACAGTTTAAACTGATGTCTGTTGAATTCGATGACTGAATAGTGCCTACTCTTCAATTTGGCACATGTAACAGGTGTTTTAAATGGCTTAGTCAGAGTAAACTGACAGTCTATATGATTCAATATCTTCACTTAGCACTTCATGTCAAAAATAATTCTTTTTATTCAGGAATACGACCAATAAGTGTTCGTGAAGAACCCTGTATTGACTATGAAGTCGTTTGTTTAAGATGGCTACTTATAAAAACTGTGTGATTTAAACGCCTTCATCTGAAGAGGGTTGTGGATCAGAATTTTTAAATGCTTACACCAATAGTTCAAAATTAGGAAAAGGATGGTATCACTTTTGTTCAACCATTATGGTTGCTTTTTGATTAAAATATGCTAAATTTATTAAATCGACACAGTAAAAATAGTAGTGAACCTTTCAAAACTAAGTTTTTATTCAAGAATTAAACGGTTTGCGTCTAATCTACTATTCACAACTGAGAATCAATTACAAGTTCAGAAACTGATGAGAAATTGGTAAAAATTCAAGCGTAAATTCATGGATTAGATGAAGTATTTTTTCAATCTCTTGAGTACCAAAGTACTGGACTTTTCTTTACTACGTTTATTATCAAACAGAACCGTTGAGTAGAATTCTAGAACAATTAATAATACATAAAAATCTATTTCAAATTATAAACATAACTTACAACTTAAGATCAGCTTCAAATTCCGATCGTAAATTAGGTTTAGACATCTCGAAACCCATGGAATCATAACCTTGAAGCGGAAAATATTTGATAATATTAAAGTTCAATGCACAAATAATACAATCTTGATGAAAAATGACTTTATGATTAGCATTGCAAACACTATCCATGAATGGATGATGGAAAAATTGTTTATATAGAAATCCAAGGAAGGATTATTCTCCCATGGTGGTGACCCTTAACACTTAGCCCAATCTAAAGTTTATTGATCAAAGCAGCATTTCAACACGGTTGATATTTTAGCTAGAAGAGAAAATCACTACTTATCAAGTACATAATGCTTTGCCAGATTAAAATCCGATCTACGGGATTGTTGTAAGACGATTTCGATGTTTATTCATTGTACTTGTGCAAAAATTAACTGTTAACGTGGGAAAATCCCTTTTTCATAACATTACTTGACTTGATTCTCAAAATGCAACACAAACAAATTCTATAAAAAACCATAGACAAACCTTCCACTAGTCCCATCCCCAATTGGCCTGGAACAAGAAATTTGTTTTGCTCTAAACCGACATAAAGTCTTTGTTTGATTGTTTCAATATGTTCAGCATGTGTAGCGTCTGTGCCGATCCCATGACGATCCATAAGGGAAATAAGATCAGCTTCAGTAAGCAAAGGCGGTGGACATGTTTGACCAGTAAGTATCTAAACGGAAGATTAAGTAATGGATAGATAAAAAACATAAATGTTATTATTTAAACACGAAACATATCGTTTTTATACAATTCAACAAAGACAACAAACGGGGAACTTATGGAATAAACGTATGCCTACTAGTGACTAAATTTGAGACGGATTCTGAAAGTCCTATAGTTCAAGGTTGTAGACGATAAAGTTTAAGAATACTGAAAAAGACATACATTGCTGATAGTGTCGGGCGATTACTGAGCAATGTCGCAAACTAAATGGAGTTGGAAATATGGACCAGTGATCTGAAGATGTGTTTATCAACAAACTTGGAGGTTCTGTTTGATCGCTAGTAGGATCAACAGATGAGCTCTGACTCTCAATCTGTGACAAATACTACTTTGTACACTTAAATTAACTCAAGAGGGCATTGATATTTATTATTCGAAAGATACAATACAGTTATAATTGTAACGAGTAAACAAGACATAACCAGATGATGGTCAATACCAATTCAACTATAATAAGGTGTGGAATATTAAAACTTCGAACAGTAATTTGAACAAAAAAAATAAATCTATCTAAAGCTGAAGATAAGAAAAGTCTAGATATCTTAAATTAAATGAATAACGGTTGAAAACCCAATATAGAATTGACTGTTGATGATAATGAGCAGAGCAGTAAAAAATATTCAAGATCAAATTTCTGCCTTCAACTAATTAGATTGATGAACAATTCTAATAATGAGTGACTACTGATCAGTTACTAAAGGGTACTCACGATTATACAATTATATTATTCGGCATTAAATTCTCCTACCAACGGATATTTAGTTGCTGCGGTAATCCCTACGTCAGACTGCTAACTGCTGTGATACATCGCAGTGATGATATTCGAAAGGAGTAGAGTTTTGAGACAGATTATTGGCTAAAGCTGTGATCCTTTGTTTGAAAGAACAGTACAAAAAACACAGCACTGTTGAAGATCGATCGACCAAAAAAGTACTTGACTGATGATTCCCACAGTATTACCTAATCATTTCGTAACTTTATACAGTTGTTTCACAACCATCCCTTACGCTTATGTTACATAAGAAATTTATTACCGGTAATTACAACGATAGAAATGCTCCCCACAAAATATTGAAATAATAATGATGACTGTAAAGCAGCTGGTCTCGAAGATGGTTGTTTGTAACACTACTTATTTAATGAAAACAATCTGATAACACTACATAATACGGGAAGATAAAATCACAAAACCGAAGTAAATTTTCGTAAAAATAAAAACAAATTGTTGACAATTCCTAGTACACTTAATATTAAATTATCACGTTACGGTTATTATCGATATTAGTAAAAAAGAACCAAGATTTTGACAGCAAAGTCTATGGGAAAAAATTGACGTTAAATAAACAACTTACTTGAATATTATCAGGTAAAATCCATTCACCTAATTGAAAAACAGGCATATCTTTTTCAGCCCACCGATCATAAATGTAAACTTCTAAATAGTTCAGAGCCAAAATCATAAGACCTTTGGACTCAAATAATTCCCCATCTTCTGAAGTAAGTAAATTAGCTGTACTTATACTTGAATGAAATGTTCTTGGAAGAGTAGGTTTACCAATACACAAACGAACTATGGTTTCAGCACCCTCTGCATCGGTTGAAAGGCAAGCTAGAAAATGCCTAGTCACCAATTCATAGAGACGTGCTTCATCACCCTAAAGCGTAACAGATAAAAACAAAGGTTATTATACAATTAGAAAGAACAATAATGTTTCCGATTGCTTGTATTTCTAACATGACATTACATCATGGCTTTCAAAAAAGCTAACCATCCCAGTCATAGGGTAGAACTGTTATGCATCAAATCACTGTACACTGAACCTTATATAACTAGGCTACCGGTATAAGAATACTGACGATCACATCTTCATCATGGTAACGTAATAAGTTTGACTATACACAGAAAGATCTTATCCACTCCACACCATAACCACAAATTAGGCAGCTAAATAAAAATAAATGCAAATTACAATGCAATATAGGGTAGACTTGGAACTAAAAAAACAAGCGTATGTCAACAACTGGAAATCGGAAAAAATATGATGTAACAATCTGTCTATCTACTCTGAGAAAACGTATGAAAGACAAATCAGTATACAGAAAAACACTTGACATGCTGGTGTTTGGCCCTACTTTTAGTTACATTACACTCTAACAACTCTTCGCTTAAATCCGTATGATCTCTTTGATAAACCTTCTGAGCAAGTCTTTTCATGATTAACGGAGGCTTGATAAAGAGAGAGCTACCAGGGTTTGATACTGTGGAAATAGAATTTGTGTAAATGAAACAGTTATTAAAAAGTACTTCATGACTTTTTGGCCCCCAAATGCCCTGGTATGGACGAGAGTGGGGTGGACCCGCTCTCTCTCTCTCTCTCTCGAAATGCTCTCACATGGCCACGCGTATATAGCCTCTGCCAGGGAAGTCCTACTCACTGCCTTCTCGTGACAGGTGGGTTGTTTACGAAAATAAGAGGACGAAAAGCGAATGTCCAGAGCTTTAACCGGATCCCAAACCAATGGTGCACATGGGCTGCAGTATCCTGAAGGAACAAATGGCGTATGAAACAATGGTTGGTCACCGGCTACCATGGGACTGCATCTCCTTACGATGCTCCACTGCCTTGTGGATCAGATCTTCAGGTCGAAGGCTCCGGGTGTGGCCCCCTAAGAAAACCACCTGCTTCGGTTTGGGAACCCGGGCAATATCACAGTTCTCACACAAATCAAATGAGATTTGTGTGGCGCATATGTACTTAGTGCCTCTTTGTACCAATATCTATGTGTTAAAATAAATAAATAAATGAGGTTGGTCACAACTTATGGTAATAAACACTAAGGATAAGAGTGGGTTTTGAAACATTAAATTTTAACTGACATTTCATTCCTTGATTTGAACACTACAATTGTAGTCTTCTCTATTACAGAAAACATTTGTGTTAAAGATGCTTATCACGTGACACAAACGGATAAATCTTTTCCTAAATTCACATGAAAGTCTACTATGAGAATAATCAGACAATGTATTAATGTATATTGTTATCAGTAAAATAGCTAAACGACAATATACCTGAAGCGAATCGCCCACTTTTAACGGGTGTATAGGTGGATGAGCCTTATCACTTGACTTTCCGTTCTTAGGATTAGGACCATGCTCAAGGATTCTGGAGGCAAAATCTTGATTAAATAAAGAATTAAAAGAGAGAGGAATCATTAGTTTATGAGACAAAAGTGCCAACAATAACACACGATAAGCTCACAGATTGCATATGTATAGTTTTCTGAATGACCAATAAATAAATTTTTAAATTATAATTAGTGCAGCTCATTGACCAAGTACAGGTGTTCATCTAATCAGTTTTCAGTCATATCATCTGAGTAAAGCGTAACTCTATACTACTCTCCTAGTCAAGCTGAAGTTGGTAGAGTGAGTTTAAAATTAGCGATCGATTAGTTCGAAGCCAGATGTCTGAGCAACTAAGTAACCAATTTAACTCACATGTGAACGATGACCACAGTTTTAGCTAATTTTTGTTTTACATTGAATGAAGAGAACTATATAGACTAATTGATGTGTGACAGAGACTGTTTTACTATTTTAGAAAACAATTACTTAATCAATTCCGTCATATAAATTCGAAGTCAGGTTACATCAAGAAGAAATACTTGAAAAATGGTAAATAGCGTGAGATTCCATATATTTTGTTTTAATGATAAACATGGCTACAAACAAACCGGAAATACAAGAAAATTGTAGGTCAATGACAATCAACGTTTAATTCAACAACATTAATATTTAATGGAATCAATGTATTGCTAATAGTCTTCTACGCTGTCACTGAATCTAATCGCTATATAAATTGACTGAATGACTTATCATTGCATTTGCATTAGGAAAAATGCCGGGAATGTATGACATTCGAAATCATTCATGAAGTTGGTGAAAAATAGTAGATTCAGGAAAATGTTCGTTATAAATTAACAATACTGGTGAGATGCAGCTATTCTTTCAACAAGGATAAAACTAAACATTTTCAAATTCCGTAACTAATTGTTATAAGAGCTTAACCCTAAGTACTTTTCAATGCCAGTCAAATAATTGTTTTACAAAACTTACCAGACCATCGAGAATCATTTAGTTGAACGCGCACTAAGTTTTTAAGATCCAAATCCGGTGGGAATATTTTAGTTTCTGTACGAGGATATGAAATAAAACCTTTGTTGTAAAGACGCTCAGCCAACTGCATTGCATATCTAGCTCCCATATGTAACTTGCGAGAGGCCAGTTTTTCCAATTCCTTTGCAGTACATGAAACAAATAAAGTACGTTTCTGAACAGAAAACGATTCGTTAAACTTCAACTGATTAAAATAGTAACTAATATCCCGATGAAACGTAAACCATTGACACTTAATTCAAAGTACATCTATGGTGGAGTATTCCTATTAGACGCTACTTATTATTGACAGACACCTGGATCTTGAGAAGCAATCAATGTAAAAATAAATTACTAAAATATGACAGTGGTATTAATTGTATTGTACTTCCAGTTATATTTTATCTTAACAGTTTCTAACGAATGAATCACTTTATCATCCCTCATACACACGTAATAAGGTTCACCATCGATGACCATTGGTATATTAGACGCAATCATCTGGTAGATTGATCGATTCTATAATTTACCACTTTTTAAGTGAGTTGAATTTCCTTTTGGAGAACCACCATCACTCAGTTCTTATCTCGGAAAATATATGCTATGCTCAATAGTGGTACAATATGATGGATGCGCTTCAGTAAAAAAAACACCGACGTAGAATATTGAGTGGCTCCTCAGCGTAACCATGCTTTTAACGATTTGAAAGTAATGATTGGCCTGAATCTACAACGACGTCCTAGGAAATAATTTTAATCATTCATGGAAGGGAATTGATAATCATCGGAAAGCTTGAAAGGGTTTTCAGCCAGAGAGAATTCCAGTACACCATAGTATTATTATTAGCTTTATTCAATATTATATTTTTCGTACAATATAGAATTCTCAGCACAAAGTATTTCAACAAGTTTCCATTCCTTACTTCTTGGTCGATCTTGATGATAAATATTGAGTGGTCGCCAGTTAGAATTTAGCAGTCCAGTAGATCGACACCTAAATAATGTACATTCTTTTCGCTGCATATTGCCAGCAACCACGATATCTTTGATTGGGCCTTTTGTAACTTTTACAACGAAAGTTTGTATACTTTTCAGAAAGGCACCTGAATAGGTTATGCGATTAATAGACATAATGTTGCTTTAAAACAAACGAAAATAGATAACTTGTTGAGATATCTAGATGGCAGATACAGGTAGCCTAGATGTTCAAGCAGACCGCCAAGGTCCGGCTGGGCGAACAGATAGTGTTGGATAGCAGTTTAGTTCATTCAGGAAGAATAAATCCAAACGTTTGGAATAATGAACCACAAAGAAGAGTATTGTATACGTTTCAAATTTTCATCATTTGTTTCAAATAAATTGAGCATTAGGTAGAGAATTAATAATACACATATTTTTGTAGTATTCCAATAAGTAGAAAATTGTATTTCTGACGTTTCGTGACTTAATGTAAGTCACTTTTCAGAGTAAATATAAAAATGAAGAAATGATGTACATTAAGTCACGAAACGTCAGAAATACAATTTTCTGTTCATTTTTTGTGTTATTCTTATGATCGGGTGTTCAAACAAATGGATTCTACGGACAATATAACCAAAACTGATTTAAAGTCGCCACTTAAGTATGCATTTCATGTTCATATTCATATTATAAAACGGCAAATACATAAGATTTGTCACGTTTTTCACGCATTAAGCTTGACAATTAGTTGCTCGATCAAGTGTACATTCTAGACACAATTGTGTCAAGAATGTCAGTTGTTTCATTGTAAATATTGAAGTGCATTATTCAATTCAATGGCTGAATTTCTGTTTAAATGGTACGCTGGAGATCAATCTGCTTGATCACATACATTTCACATTTATGATCCATTTAAATCAAACGCCGGATGAAGATTGTATTGTAACTCAAATATTCGCGGAAGAAGACGGTATAGGCATGAAATCCAAACACATTTCCCAGGAGCTGTTAACGACAATATTAGGTAAACAGAAATTAGCTTTCATTCTCAAACGTCACCGCCATCAGCTGGGAAGAGCTACAAGGAAATGTCGTCGACCTGAATCCACATTCAAGTGGAGTAAGTACTCTTTTGAAGGACGGGAAATGATGTACCCCTATATCAGTTTACAAACTCAGATAACATTCTGTCGCAAGGGATATAATGGGCGCACAATACAAGTGTGAATGGGCTATGTGAAACACCTTTTAGTCTTGACTACTTCGACGTACTTGTATAGCAGATAAGGTACTCAGTTTCATATGCAGTGTGGTCACTTATCCAGCTTAAGAAATCCCTTACATCGTCACTCAGAGGTCAAATGAATCATTAAGAATGTGATTACTAAATGGGTCTCAATCAACCTCTGAACTGTTATCCACTCTCTCTCAATAGCGGATACAAATATCATTCGCCATGCCGGATGTTATTTTTAAAAACTCAACCTCGCAGACACTTAATTGTAAGCAAAAGTTTCCCCAGCGCACCAACACTCACTATAAACATATATCGCGGTCTGTTTTAATATAACTCCAATCTTAGAACGGCCGATGGGCACTATACTATCTCATATTCTAAGAGTAGCCGCCTACATAAGCAATGTTTAATTTCTGCTAAATCACCAATATACCTTTGAATTCAAACCAAAATAGTCCAATTCACATCTCAGGACGATTTCGATATTTCCATGAAAAGTAAACATACGTAATACAGGTCTCAACTGTCCCAGTCAACCAAAAAGCACTACTCTATCAATCAACTTGTCATCTTTAGTACTCCGGATCTAACCACAATATTGTTTACTCAGTGGCCCTAACACACACAAGTAATACTTCCAAGACACATGATTAAAAGCTTGCAGCCTATAGACGTCCCTTATTCTCGAAGATCAGGTTTCACGACCACAGTGTGATAAATATCGAACCTCTGCCCATTACATTTCCCATTTGATCACTAAATGGACATCACATCTACACCATAAGTTGGCAAAAGCGAAGCAGGCATTCTGAATCCGTGCGCACATTTCATTAGATAAACCAACCCAACAGGACTGTCAAGATAACTGAAGTGGTCGGTGAGCTCAATCATTCAATCCATATGGTCACTAAAAGAGCGCCGCAAAAATTCTTGTATTACTAAACAAAGCATTTGGTAAGCCGTAATTTGTCACCATGTTTACCAAACAAGACAGTCAGTTGAGTAATTCATGCCAATAAGTGAGGTTCCAAGACGATCTATCCCTGTAAAGTTATATGACGAGTGTGATTTCTTAAAGGGTATCTATGACGAAACACTAAAAATGTAAGAGTAAGATGAATTGACAAAAACCACTTGATGTTTAACAATTCTGATGACAGATCCTCATAAGTTCTGGCTTGACTAATAGTTTTCAAGCAAAGACTCTGCAAGATTTATGTACTGTATTACTTAGATCAGTGCAAAGAAAATGACATTAAACATTAATTTTAAACTCACTACAGTATCCAAAGCAGTTGGACGCCATTTGGTCTTCGGACGCTTAATAACTTCTACGATTTGGCCATAGCGATTCTGGTTGAAAAATTAAAAAAACAAACCATACAATGAACAATAAGATGTTTTGGAATATATTAGAAATGACGAAATATTGGTGGTCCCAGTGCAACCTTAACTATCCTTATTCGCAACCTTTGTAAATAATGAATTCCTTAATTAAAAAACCATAAGAGATTAGTTACTTTGGATGGGAAAGTGTGTCTTTTCATCTCAATAAAATTTTGTTAGAAATAGAAATTTGCATGACGCACACAACAATAAACCTGCAACACTTGCATCGCCTATTTTTATTCCATCGAAATAAGATAAAACGTTGAAGCACTATGAAGTTATGATTTTATTGCTTAATTATTGCTCAAGAGATTTAGTCTTTGATTGAATTGTACTTCAAACCATTAAAATGTTATACCGAAACCAATAGGCCAAAAGTTGAAGTTTCATTTTATAAATTTTACAGGAACTCAATCAGGAGCTAACTGAATAGTTTTAGAAATATTTAGGATCGAGTATACAGAAGACGTCGGATACGAAGTATATTTATCAGAAACCTGGTTCTATAATTTAAAAAGCTGACAAATACACACATGTTTTTTGAAGGATAACGATGCTACACAGTTAACCGACACATAGCAAGTACGGCAATGTCTAGGCCTGTAACCTAATAGCTGAGTAAAGAACTTATAACACGGATACGCAGTTCTGCATCAATACAGTGTGACTTTTAATAACCACTAAGTTATATTTTTGTACAGTAAGATGATGAATGAGTGAGTGTATCTACTCAAATAACGGAAGCTAATTGAGATGAGTTTCTGCTTTTATGATATACATAGTACTCGGAACAGATGCACTCACTTTTTGTTTCCTCAGACTTGTGTTTCAAAAATACCTTATACTTGTTACTTCATGAATTCATTCCTGATTTTCATATTGTCTTTTCCGAATCTCTTTTACTATTAGTGATACTGTTACTACTTCTACTACTATAGAACTTGTCTTGATGATTTCATCATGCAATATTGATATGATATGGCAACTTTAACCGAAGCGCATATATGTAAGACTGTACGTTACTGATGATTGATTGACTGACATAAAGTATAAGTTCAGATGAAACAACATATTACGTCTTATCAGTGCATGAATCGAATAACTAACGAACATCAACAGTTAACAAGAGTTCTGTAGAGTGAACGGTGACTTTCATGGTAAAAGTCATTTTCTTGTTTAGAATAAAACTTCAGTTTAGGAAAACCTAGGATAAACTATATAAAAAGTCATTGTGTACTATTAACATACTTGATGTAAATGTTCATAGTATGCTCTGCAACAATCTTGATCGAAAAGACGTCCACTGATGTAAAAAGAAGGGAAACCAAAATATTAGTCACAAATACAGTGACAACTAACTGTTTAACAACTAATTGAAAGACACTATTCAACGTACCGTTGCCACTGAAATTCAGTTGTTTTCTCGTCGCGTGATACAGTGACTAAAATTACAGATCGAAAGACCAAAAATATATGGATGAACTATGGCTAAACAACGATCGTCATTCAAAGGTTATGAACATAAATCAAGTAAGAAAACCGTAATAGTGATCAATTAGACAGTCACAAACATAGGATATGGCACGGTTCAAGTCGCCACACTTCAAAACATATCAAAGAAATTAACAAGATGTGGGGGAAAAGGGGGAAAGAAATAGATTATGAATACAGTGGTCTTGAGTAATGTTGGAGGCATGAGGGTGGTTATCACTCCCGGTTGCACACACTGTCGAAGGGTTTATCCAGAGGTATCTGAAGAGGAAATTGGGTTTGAGGTGATCTTAGTGACCTGAGAGCGTAACTACAGTACCCAAGGGACAACTGCGTGAGGCCGGTCACACACGACCTTTTTGTAAGTAATTTTAGTGTTAGCTCCGTACTTGTTGCGACCTTACCGCCATTGACGGAAATCCGTAGGGTAAGGTGAAGTGTGCACTTTTAGGGTCGACCTTTTCTAATCCCACTCTTCCTTGTGAGAAGGCAGTATCGCTGTTATGCTGGTCGTCTGAAGGAAACACCTTACTGCCGTCACACTTCTGTATCATCAACAGTACGAGTTCGCCCTCGAACTTTGAGTTCGCTGCTTTTAGTCTTACCGCTCTTCAATCGACATGGTAGGACCTTGAGGAGCGATTGTTCCAGCCATTTTAGCCAGATTGGCTCATTATGATAGACAGGTTCGACCACCACGTCAAGTTAGCAACAACGGTCGGGAATACAGTTCAAAAGAAAGATATGGAATGATACTACCCTCAAAATTTAGAGGAAGATAAAGAATAAATACAGCTGCACTACTGCTACCGACTGTCAGCTATACCATTTAAGATCCTCGACCGCAAATTACGATTACCTCATGGATTCTGTCTATGAAGTTTGAACTTGCAAACTCACTCTAATCTAACAACCAACAACTTCATAAACTGATGCTATTTCTGGTCCGGGCACCGCAAGCTCCGCTGTGATCTGCTTTTATGAAAGCCGTCATAATACGCCGAAATGAGAGGTGGCTGGACAGGCTCTCCATGTACCATAAACTCAGTTAATGAATGCTCTCCGAACTGTCCAACTTGGTATCTTAATCAAGTACATTACACTCAGACTCATCAGTACTCACCCGATGGCTCCACCAGGAGTAAACAATAATTCAAAGACATCAGTGATCGAATGCCAGCAAACTACTCAAACTTTCTTTAAAAGCTATACTTTATATCTGCAAAGTAATATATGAGTAATAGACGGTTGAAGTTGGTAAAAGCCGACAGAAAGTTTTCTAACCATGTTGGTATTTTCGAGAGCTCAACCTCATTGAGGGCAAGGTCTCCAGAATAGGCAAAGTGGTAAATGCGTTAAACTACTTTTTCTCTTGTAGTAAGACGATGTATCGATCCGAAACGGTTCTTAAACAAAATGGTAACATAGTAAGCACGATGAATGTATCTCAATATTGTAATGAAAATGCAGTATCTTACCATTTTCCAGTCGAGTCTTTTATATTTATTTGTTTAAACACATAAACATCAGTACAAGGGGGAATCAAATACATATGCGCCACACAAATCATTCGATTTGTGTGAGGGCTGGAAGACTGCTCAGGTGCCCAAACCGAAGCAGGTGGTTGTCTTGGAGTGGCCACTCATCGAGCCTTTGACCTAAAGGTCTAATCCATAAGGCAGTTGAGCAACGTTAGGAGATACAGTCTCATGTTAGCGAGTGACCAACCATTGTTTCATACGCCATTTGTTCCTTCAGGATACTGCAGCCCATGTGCACCATTGGTTTGGGATCCGGTTAAAGCTCTGGACATTCGCTTTTCGTCCTCTTATTTTCGTAAACAACCCACCTGTCACGAGAAGGCAGTGAGTAGGACTTCCCTGGCAGAGGCTATATACGCGTGGCCATGTGAGAGCATTTCGAGAGGGAGGGAGGGTCCGCCCCACTCTCGTCCATACCAGGGCATTTGGGGGTACCAGCCAATTTCGTAAAAATCAGTCCCTCCACGAGAAGGCAGTGAGTAGGACTTCCTTGGCAGAGGTTGTGTGCACGTATCCATGTGAGAGCATGTCGAGGAGAGCTGACTCTCCCTACCTTCGATCGTACCAGGGCATTTGAGGGTTATCTTTCATAAACCACTGTATGTTAGTGGTTTATAATCTTTTATAAGCCACTAACACATAGTAAATTTAGGGATGGTATATATTTTCGAAAGCAAATAGAGATAAAACGTGTTATAATATTGCTGTGATGAAAGTACTACATCAAATTGCAATAAAATATACGACGACATAATCGCCATAATTAAAAAAAGACATCATTTTAGTCCTGTATTTGGTACTATTGACTAAAACATTTAAAAATTCAGATTTCACTCTAGCTGCGAGTAGTGACTTAAATACGTGTTCCACGAAGTTTCAAATTTAGTATTAGCATTACGGTTAGAAGAAAGGCGTTTAGGGATCGAACATCTAATAGACTTGTTAATGTAACTTATTCTCGAAGTACATGTTCATGTATTTGTCTTTGCATCAGGGCTAATTATACCATCCGGCCATCCAAATCGAAGTGGAATTTGAACTTGGAAACTAGTGGTTACAAATCAAGTGCGTCAGCTCCGAAGGATACGAATATTTTTGAAGGTCTTTTGGTTATGTACTAATGGTTCCGAATATTGTTCGAGTAAACTAACTAGTTATATGATTACAACAAGTATGACAGGAAAACCACATGTTAACAGACTCCACATTCCACGCTGACACTAAAAGTGTATAGTACTTGACTACGACATATGTAGTACCTCATCTTCGAGCACACTACCATTTTAAAAATCATATAACCCTAAGATAAATAGTATGGTGTGTACTGCTGCGCAGAAAAATTAAATCTATCCTGATAAATAATTTTACCATACGACACAACAGAGATGGATATGTTAAATATCTCTTACAGATGTTGGTCATCATTTACTAAATCTATTTTATTACTGTCACCTCTATAAAGACTTACATCTTGTCAAATATGACATAACTACATCAATTTAATAATAACTTACCCACAATACGCCAAAATGGTTCAGAAACAAACTGGTCAACCTCTCGAAAGCGTTCTACAACGAAACCAAGAGTTGGGAACTGACAAGATCCATACGAGATCAACTGGTCACTAAGAGCTTGGGGGAAAACTCGCCTTAACCGCAAAGTCTGGAAGCGTGTGAAGGCAGCCCCAATACGTAAATCTAGCTCCTGGCGCACATCAACAGCTGTGCTGGCATTATAATCAGGAATTGTGAGCCGATTTACGGCACGATTAACAGCTCTAAAACAAAAATTTAAATCGAAATCTTTTAGAGAAAATGGAGTATTCTCAAACAGACCATCCGTACAATCCATCTGAAAACATTACGTTAAGATAGGATTCACACTTAGTGTTCTGTTCATCGTCCTAAATGTCTGGACTGAGAGGAGATAAGAGTGTTGTCTTCTCCTGAGATTGTCACACACTTGACTTATTGATTTCGGTTTCTTTTATTAGTCTGAAAAACTGTTTGGTGTTACCTACAGCCACTGCTTTCTTCATCTCTTTTGCTTTTGTTGCCCACCATTGCTCACGATCGTTTCGTGGACTTTTGGTTAAGCTAGATCTGATTTGTTTTCGCTCTTCATCGTGTCCGGAGCCAGATGGGATGAGTTTATGAGTCTATCGGTGCAATAGATGAGGCGGAAATCCACTGGTTTTTCGTGACCCTTTGATTCAGATCACTAATAGTTGTTGTCGCTGTTTGTTCCCACAACTGTTCGCATATCTCTCCAAGCGACATCTGGGTCAGCCTCATTTTCAGGACTGCCCGAGTGTGGATTCAGTTGTTCCGGTCACACTGTCAGGTCATTAGGAACAAATCTAACCCGATTTCCTTTTCAGGTACCTCTAGAAAAACCCTTCCACGGTGTGGGCAACCGGAAAGTGATAACCGTCCCTATACCTCTGAGGGCACTCAAGACCACTATATATATATATATATATAATTGCGCATCACAAAAAAACGAAGTGATAGCACCGTAAAAACGTAAAAGCGGGTAAACTAGCAGTAAGGATAAAAAATAAGAAGTATTAAAGGAAACGGCCTACATAGAAACAGCCTAAGTGCATTTCGATCAGTTAGATGTATTTTGCCTTTTATGAAGATATATCAATTTATTTACCACACTCCAGGTATGAGAACTAGTGATATCACCTGGATGCTCAAACTGCAGTAGGTTGAGCAGGTTCTGAGCCTGGAACTTAATGGTCGAAAGTCAAACGCACTGACCACTAAGGCACAGCTACAAAGCAATAGTAAAATGACACTAGAAAATTTTGTTCAAGAATGAGTGAATTAGCAGAAAATTCGCTAGATAATAATTTTGAAACGCACGATTTAGTGGGTTAAGATTGCAAGCAGCTCAGTCAGTCAGTAACAACGTAGAACTTCGTACGTACGTACATCAGTTCGAGTTGCCATACCACATTAGCACAGAGATGCAGTGGTCGATTCAAATCCCGTAGTGGTAGAGGTAATAAGAGTATAAGCAGTAATCGGGAAAATTAGCGTTTGGAGATGTTACTCAAAGAGTATAATACAGTGAAATAAATTTGGAAAGAGAAAAAAAGACAAGGAGGAATAAGGAGATCAAAATTTGGGAGAACACAAAGAGTGTATGCACCTGCGCAATTGCAAACGATTTTGAGCCATGTCATTCAGGGTCTCTAACCATCGGTTGCTATTATCTCGCGGTCCCCAACCAGGTAGTCTACACGTACCAACATGACTCAGATCACTTGTCAGTGACTTCATGGACTTGTGCCATGTTTTGGTCTGGGTGCCCCTAGCTTTCTTCCAACCTACTCCTATACCACTGAACATCGCACGTCGAGGCAGTCGGTCGTTGGGCATACGTAACACGTGTCCAAGCCATCTCAACTGATGAAGTTTCACTACGTCATCAATTGATTTGCCATCCTTACCTAGTACCCGTTTCCTAACAACTGCATTACTTACTCGATGGTCCCAGGATATACGAGCAATATTTCGAAGACACCTATGATCAAATACTAGTAACCTACGAATATCCTCTACTCTTACCGGCCATGTTTCACTGCCATAAAGTAGGACGGGACGAATTGCTGCGCAGTAAACCCATCCTTTGGTTGATAGACGGATATCTCGCCTACGCCATAAATGACGCAAGTTGGCAAAAGCTAGTCGAGCCTTCTGTATCCGTGCTGAGATTTCGTCACACACCAGACCACAAGGGCTGATGAGACTTCCAAGATAAGTGAAGCGATCGACACGCCAAATTACTTCACTCCCTATCATTAGTTCGGGTGTCAATGCAACCCAATCCTGAAGCAACATTTTGCATTTCGAGGGAGAGAATCGCATCCGGAACATGCTTGCATTGTTGCTTAGAGTGGTCAGAAGACTCTGCATTTTGTCAGCGTCTTCGCCAAATAAAACTATTTCATCAGCATATTCTAAGTCAACAAGTGAACCTCCCGGTAGAAGTTCAACCCTTGGAAATTTAGATGAGGAAAGTGTTATCTCTAAAAGTACGTCGACCACAAAGTTGAACAAGAATGGAGAGAGTGGACAGCCCTGACGAACACCACTTGAGGTAATCAATTCTGATGACAGTTCGCCATAAGCTCTCACTTGACCAGTTGTGTTCGAGTAGAGAGCCTTTTTAATGTTAATGTACTTCTTTGGTACTCCTTTCAGTGAAAAACACTGCCATAGAACCTCACGATCTACAGAGTCGAATGCCGCCTTAAGGTGGACAAATACTACGATTGTGTGCGTCTGTGTTCTAGAACCTGACGTAGTGTGAATATCTGATCTATACAACCACGCCCAGGTCGAAAACCAGCCTGGTTTTCTCTAGTCTGCTCTTCACGAGCTTTAGTTAGGCGTCAAAGTATTATTGAAGCTAATATTTTGGACAATATATTAGTCAAACTGATTCCTCTGTGATTGTCACAAGAGGACTTTTGTCCTTTCTTAAAAACTGGCACAATCAGTGGTTGAAACCAGTCAGATGGAATTACGTCAAGTTCCCAAATTCTACCTAAGACCTCAGTTAATCTCACTGCTAATACTAAGCCACCACCCTTAAAAATCTCAGGAGTAAGCCTGTCAGGGCCTGCTGCTCTCCCTCGCTTCACATTTCCTATGGCTTTTTCAACTTCGTAAAGAGACGGAGGACCTACGTTAACTTGCCATTCAGGTTGACTGAAGATCGTGGGAAACCGAAGTGTGACTGAAGGCCAGTTGAACTGATCCCTGAAGTGTTCTGCCCATCGATCCAATCTCCTGGATTGAGAATGTATAATATGTCCATCTTTCTCTGAGAGTGTTTCGCTAACAGTCGGTTTCCTAATACCGGTTTCCTTAACAAGTCTGAACAATTGTCTGCTATTACCTATTGCCGCTGCCTTTTCCATCTCTCTTGCTTTCGCTAACCACCACTGTTCACGATCATTGCGTAGACTTCTTGTCAGCTTGCGCTTAAGCTGACTCCGCTCTTCATTATGTTCAGAGCCAGGCGGAATGAGTTTCCGAGCATCTATCAGTGAGATAGATGCTGCTGAGATCCATTGTTGCTCCCTAACCTTACGGGTTACCTTACTAGCAGATATCACTGCTGTTTCCACAGCTTTTCGGATATCATTCCATGCTGCCTCAGGGTGGGCATCACATACATGGCTGCCTAACTGTTTTTCTAGTTGTTCCTGAAATATACTCTTAGCAGCTACATCACTGAGATCGGTTTCGAGTAACGTTACACAATATACCCAACTACGATAATCGCAAGTACCCTAACAAGGTAACCTGTACCCAACAACAAGACTCAATTTCAGTCAATGACTTTATAAACTGATTCCACGTCTTGGTTTAACCACTCGAATTCTTACACCAGCTAAATTTGTGATGAGATAGACAGCTTTTGAACATAAAAGTCCCGAACAAATTCGATGAAGATTTTTCGCCTTATTAATTATTAAGAAATATGAAGCCTAGTGATAGTACTTAGTTGCCCAAAGTAAAGTAGGTGGAGTGGAATTTGAATGTGGGACATAGTGGATGAGAGTCGAATCCCTTTAGCCACTAATCCACTGCTCCAGTTTTGAAATAGGAACAATAATAGGGTTCATTGTACACAAAGTATACAACTGTCTTTGGGCCTAGCATACAACAAGGGCGTCATGGGAGTTACACAAACATTACTGATACTGCTCTTATGACGTACTTTGCAGTGAATATAAAAAATCCAATTTGATGACGGACACGTGCTAAGAGTAGGCTTAGTTGCTAATAAACTTTTAAGGAACCAAATACAAAACATTAACCAATCAAAATATATTGCCAATAAACAACTTACGCAGGTGTAATTTCAGAAAACCGAGCACGGAGAACTTCAATGTTTGGTTTAACTGTAATAAATATTATTCGATTGACGCTTACAAGAACAAAGACCTACTTTCTTTACAAACATCAATTACTTCGATGCCAATATTTTCACCCTCACGATCGCAATCAGTCCATATAATTAACTTTTGACAGCTTCGCACTTCGCGCTGTAACGTTTGCTAAGAAGTTAAAAATAGTTGCTTTTATAAACTTGAAAACTGTCCTATTAATATATATATATATATATATATATATATATATATATATATATATATATATATATTCGTCCACTCACACGCTATTTAAAAAGGACAGTGAAATTATATTCACTGAGTAAATCTTATAATTCTGGTCATTTATAAGGTGTCAAAACTACCGTTTGGGAAAATTCAGTTGGACTAATTACAGTTAAGGCATCACGTGTACCGTCTGTACAAGTTTTTCTGCACTTATTCTCTTAAGTGCGTTAGTCGTGATTATTTATATCACGTAAACAATGCCGTTTTAAACTTTGATTGAAATGGACGTTTGGCATTATATTGGCCTGCCGCAGCTATCGTAAACCATAAAAATTTAAGGGCGTATTTATCGGAAAATCCTTCGGAATAAAATCTAGTTAACCTGCTTAAGCGTGTCTTAGTGTAACGTGTGGGAGAAAAAACTAGATAAGACCTGGACTTTGAAACATTACTAACTTGCATACCGATCAATTACCAGGGTGGTGCGACACACTGACTGTATGCTAGTTCCAGGTAAGTGACCAGGCCGTTTTAGTTTTTGAAGCAATATTAACTAATGTGTCAGCTCAACACCTAGAAAACTGTCTGGAAAGTAAATCCACAAGGGATTATTCATGAAGTATTAGAACCTTCTAGCGAAAAACCTAGAGCCTCATGCCACATATGCTAGGACCTTTTAGACCTTGTATGGTTTCTTTTGACACAAACTTCAGTACTGCATTTAAGTGCCCGGTCACTGTCTAAAAAAGTGGGTTTTTAAAAGAAACTCAAGAAAATTCAACTAAACTGATTCTCAGGATTGTGATGCCCTTATTCTTTTTATCTTCCAAAAAAATTTACCTGGATACCCCGAAAAGTTTACAGGGTTGGAACTAATTACTTGTCAGATGAATACCGACTTCCCCAGCCAACCAGCAGAAATCCTTGTCTTAACAAGCGTTTGGGGCTTCAACGCGTTCAGAAGAATGTTGGGTCGACAGAGAGACCTCTATTGCCAGATGAAATACAGGCGGTAAGACCATAATTTATGGACGGCCTTTGAGCGACGCTAAAGTGACCTCGAGAGTGTAAACCTAATAACTAGGACATAGTGAGGGTTATAAACCGGTGTGGGGAATCGAAATTATGAATTACAGTTGATTGTTAGGGTTAGGAATTAGATTTAGGGTTTTCATCACGAACTGACACCAGCTATAATGCCAAAACTCTATGTAGTCAAATGGATGAGCGAATTTCGAGCCTAAATCAGAAACCTGTTACCTTATATTTGATTGGTTCGTCCATAAATTATAGTCTCGCCAAACAGGCCACCAAACTTCCTATCCTTCCTAAACTCGTATGAAACCTCGATTTGGAATGAGTGATACGCTACATAAACGGTATTTAAGTCAGCTAACTAAACACACAAATAATGACAGTTATGACGTAAACTGCTGGACAAATATCATATACACACGCTAGATTTGTTGTTAGGTGCTCAATTGAGGGGAAATGATACATAACACAAGTAAATAAACCTTGATTACACGTATATCGGCAAAATTAAAGATAGGAGGGACACTATTTCAAGAGCGAGACTCTAATTTAGGGACGACCTTTGAACGAAGCTTAAATGACCTTGACGATTATTAGCCAATCAGAAGACAGTATAAAGTAAAAATATATTATAAGAAAGTAATGAATTACAGTGGACATTCTTCTTATACATGATTTAAAAACTTGTTAAGGTTTGATAAAGGTTCAGAGGTTTTGAATTCATAACGAATATGGTATAGAAACTCGTCCATAGGGTAAGGGTTGTAGCCTCTCAATAAACACCTCTTCTCTAAAACCCGTTGTAAACCGATCGTATGTCAGCACCCTAACCCCTAACCCTAACCTAACCTTAACCCCAACCCTATGGACCAGTTTCTATACCGTATGCATTATGAATTCGGAACCTCTGAACCTTTATTAAACCTTAACAAGACGCGCGAATTTCAAAAAGGGCAGTGATTTTTGTACTTGTTGTGATTATACTTGCTTTTGGTACTTATTGCACTAAAAAGCATTCTTGGTCTACTTTAACTAAGAGTTCTTTGGTTAAAGTTTGAAATTTTTTACTAAATTTTGTCCTGAGTACCTGTTTTTAGTCCTTGACTAACATTTGTGTTCACATTGTTATCATTTTTTGTTTTTAAACCTTTTAAATCGAATTAAAATGGTTGGTAAGACTCACAAATGTGGGCAACCAAATTGTTTGTTCTCCGTTGAGGAGGGAATGCAGTGTGACGACTGTAAAAAGTGGTATCACAAAATGTGTACACGACTAAGTCCGACGGCTTACAAAAGATGCTCGAAGCCTAACTCGCATTGGCTTTGTATGTTCTGCTGTACGGATAAAAAGGTACTAATACAGGAGGCTATGGGCCTATTGGCTTTGGCCTGCAAGAAAAATGATGGCGGAAGCACTGATAACAGGAGCACTGACGATGAAGAATGTGTCAGTGTAGTAAGTGCTGCTACTGGACCCATTAAACACCTGACTGCGGTTGACGGGAACGTGAAATCTCCGTTGACATTAACGAGAAATGAAGTGTCGCTTGATAATGACATCGGCAGTCATACACCTCTAGTCGAAATAGAAGATCCGGATAAAACTGTCACCGTTCCACATAGTCCAGGTGTGGCTGTTCTGAGTGGTGACAAATGGACTTCGGTAAGAAGAAAAAAAATAAGAAGAAAAAGGCTGTAGGCAAAACGCAGCTGGTCAGCAAAACATTGGAAGGGATGTTATCAGAAAAAAATTCCCCACCGCGTGAAAAGACAGATCTCTCTGATAGATCAGTCATTTTTCATAAGATAAGAGAATCTTCAGATACTGAACCAAAGGCAAGATTTGAACATGATCTCAATCATATTAAGACATCATTAAGTAAACTACTCCCAGATACAGTTTCAGGAGTTAGTATTTGTAAGCTTTATAGAATAGGAAAAAAGGTGGATTCCGAAAGTCCTCAGAAAAACCGCCTCCTAAAGGTTACATTCAACACGGTGGAAGAAAGGAACCTGATTCTAAGTAATTCACGTAAACTGATTGGATCCGGAATATATGTCCGTGAGGACCTCAGCCTAGCTGATCGTATTAAGAGAAGAGCTGCAGAAGCGGAAATAAACGAGCGTCGCCGAAACGGTGAAAGAAACCTCGTTCTTAAGGGTTTTCAGATTGTAAAAGTTCGGAGCAAAACGATCCCCAAGCCACTCTGGGTGGCAAGGGAAAGCTCTCCACAGACTTAAAAGTGTGCTACACAAATGCTCGCAGCCTACTAAATAAAATGGCGGAGCTGAAGTCAGTGGTGGACAAAGAAAAACCGGACGTTATCGCTGTCTCGGAAACTTGGTTAACGTCAGAGGTATTAGATAGTGAAATCCAATTGACTGGTTTCATAACCAGTAGGGCTGATAGATTAAACCGAAGGGGAGGCGGGGTTATTTGTACACCAAAAGTACCCTAACCATAAGATTAGCTGAGACAGTAGCACATGTTTCAGGGACATGTGAACTGGTGAGATGTAAGTTGAAATGCCGAAGGCAAGATATTGAAGTAGTTGTAGTTTATCGCAGTCCAGAATGTGTAGCAGATGATTTTCTCCTTAGTAAACTTAAGTCCTGGTGTAACAACGGTAAAAGCCTTGTAGTAGGCGACTTTAATGCACCATATATAAACTGGGTTAACTTAGAAGTAGGGTCATCCATATCGTCGTTCGACTCCAAACTGTTAGAAACCTCGATTGGACTAGCATTATTCCAACACATTAGAGATCCCACAAGATACGACTTAAGAAACTCTTCTCTTTTAGATTTAGTCTTCACACACGGTGATGACGTTGGTCAAACGGCTTTTCTCCCACCACTTGGGAGAAGTGACCATGCAGTCATCTTATTCAAATTCATGGCTGAGATTGCTTGTCAAACAATTGCGCCGGCCCGTCCTAACATATGGAAGGCAGATATGCAGGCAATTAACTCCGCAGCATCGGCTGAGAACTGGGAAATCGACTCAAAGGCATCAGTACAAGAGGCATGGACTCTATTCAGGCAGTTATACAATCGGGTAACTCAACCATACATACCCTGGACTGTCCCAAAGAAAAAGAAGCACGGACATCCCTGGATAGGGCGGGATATTCGACGCTTACTAAGACAAAAGAAGAAATGCTGGGATGTTGCCATCCGCCTTGGCACAGCGGGTACGATGGAACGTTACAGATCGATAAGAAACGAGTGTATAACTAAAATTCGGGAAGCGCAAAGAAAATATGAAATGCAGCTGGCAGAATCTGCACTCAAGCAGCCCAAGAGGATATTCTCGTACATAAACTACAGAACAAGGATTCATCATTGGATTCCCAACCTAATTAAAGTAGGAAGTGAATCTGAAATGATAGAGGAAGATCAGGAAAAAGCTGAGGTTATGGCTGACTACTTTGGGGCAGTTTTCACTCAGGAACCTCCTCTAGAGAAAGAACCAGACCCAATTACAGAGTCAACAAACCAGCTGCTCACCGTGGACTTCGACCAAAACGATGTGCTTAAGGCTCTTAGCACCCTAAACATGGAGAAGTCAACAGGACCAGATGAACTACACCCTAAAATCTTGAGACATATTGCCCAATATATCGCAGCCCCACTGACTGTGATATTCAAAATGTCACTTGACCAAGGTGTGTTACCTATGGACTGGAAGGACGCAATCGTCACTCCCATACATAAAACAGGACCAAGACAAGTTCCATCAAATTACAGACCCGTAAGCCTCACCAGTGTTGTAATTAAAATACTGGAAAGAATAATCAAACGGACCATAACAGCATTTATGGAAACCAATAACTTGCTGAACATGGCACAACATGGTTTTAGAAAGGGTCTATCCTGTACAACGAACCTCCTTATAGCTAGGGAGCTCTGGATTAATGCGCTAGACAACGGAAACTCAGTGGATGTTGTCTACATAGACTTCAGTAAGGCTTTTGACAAGGTGCCAACTAATAGGCTGCTATTGAAGTTGACAAACCTTGGTATTGCCGGACCTCTTTTAAAATGGATTAAGGATTTCCTAGTAGGTCGTAGGCAAAAAGTAAGAATAAATTCCAAGTGCTCCATCTGGAGACCAGTACTTAGTGGAGTACCCCAAGGTTCCGTCTTAGGTCCTTTACTTTTTATAATGTACGTTAATGATCTTACAAGTATAGTACAGTCTCCAATGTTATTATACGCTGACGATGTAAAAATTTGGCGAGTAATAACTGGAGACAAAGACGCATTTACTCTTCAGGCGGACTTAAATAATATGATAAACTGGTCTAAAGAGTGGCTAATGCCTATCAACTCGGAAAAGTGTGTCTACATGCACTTGGGGGATTCAAAGGTTAATACGTACAACATAGGGGATGTGTCATTACCCGTAGTCCGGTCTCATAAGGACCTAGGGGTGACAGTGAGCAATGATCTTAAGACGACGGCCCATTGCCGGGAGGTCGCAGTTAAGGGGTTTCGAACCCTCTGGGCTTTAAAAAGGACATTCACTAAGCTTGACACTACCATGTTCACCACATTATACACATCCTTAGTGAGAACTAAGTTAGAGAACTGTGTTCAGGCTGCAAGCCCCTGTTTAAAGGTGACTCGGACATAATAGAAAAGGTACAGAGGGCAGCTACGCGTGCAATTCCGGAACTCCGGGTTTATCATATAAAGAGCGGCTTGAAAAACTGAACCTCTTTACTCTGTCCTATCGCAGACTAAGGGGAGATCTAATATTGATGTACAGAATACTGAGAAATGATTTCGGACCTAACTTATTCTCTCTCTTTCTTCCCACTAGATCGGGACACCTCAGAGGACATAGCAGGCGAGTAGAAAAGCCAAGAACGAACAAAATACCCGTGGCATACAGGTTTTCACACCGAGTCATCAATACTTGGAACCTGCTGCCTGAAGCAGTGGTGTCCGCACCTTCAATTGACTCTTTCAAGAGAAGACTGGACACTCACAGAAGCATACTAGAAAAGGAATAACATAGGCCACAGGCCTTCTCTCCTTACTACACAAATCTGAATCTTTTAAATCATGTAAAAGAAGAATGTCCACTGTAATTCATTACTTTCTTATAATATATGTCTACTTTATACAGTCTTCTGATTGGCTAATAGTTGAAATTGCTCAAACGCTTCTCATTGGCTCGTCCCTAAATTAGTCTCGCCCAATAAACTGTCCACTTCAAATCAGACATCGCGACACTGGAGGAATACTATCGTGATTAGTTTTTCTAACAAAATGGTACACATTGTGGGTGCTACTGGCTATTTCGTCAGAAGAAAACATAGAAAGCAAATAAAACCTAAAAATTATTGTTAATTTATAAATATGCCTTAACTATATACACAAATACATGAATATTTAATAGGATCCCCATGAGACAGGCCGACTAACCTTTATTGGTTCGTAATCTTTGAGAACTTGTTTAACAATCGGTGCGTCGAAGAGCACCATTGGGTCACAAGAATGCCTGTAAAGTTAGCAAAACCGTAGAAGAAACTACCATGACTTGTAATTTGGGAGAAAATCATAATTAGTCAAATGGCCTGACACAGACGTCATTACCATCATGACATTCTGGCCGTTGAGATTTAAAGGGAACTCGTATATTTTGTTAAACTTCGATATTCCTTCTCTCTATAGAGTGATATTCTTAAAATCTTGAAGAAATACCCTATGATATCCTCCGTGACTCAGAATTTCCGAAATATTTTTGGCGGCATCATTTTTCTCAGCAACATTTAGAATTTTCATCGTAAATTTACGAATGCCAGACGCTGTGGGGAAATCGCTGATAACTAGCAGTAAGCGTAGACACTTGAAAATCATCAGCGTTTACTTTGGTTTGCCGCTGGTGTTCAATATTCGATACCTCTGTGACGAAGCAAATCTCATAACAGTGAATGGAATAAAACCCTTTATCTTGAGAAGCCGATCTTTATAATAGAAGTAAATGGTCAGGTTTTTCAAAAAAGTAGTTAGATGCCTTGAAAAGCCATAATAGGCACCTTATAAAATCCGTTAGAAGTGATAACACATACACTAACAGCTTGGGAAACCTCTCACGGCCAAACACTTTTCTTAATACTTGGATTGTAGAGTTAGAATTTGGTGGAGTTTTGAAAAAACTTGAGGTCACTTTGAAGAAGGAACAATAGCTACAAGTGCATAGAACTTGCCGAGAAATAGACCACAATAATCAGTACAAATTCTCTACCAGGCCTCAGACGGTACTGGCCATAGAGTCCGTGTCAAAGGCTGACTTTTCAACTTACGACATTTTCCACAATTATTTGCTCTACGACGTATATCTGTATTTATCTCCGGCGATCAACATATCAGCCTGAACAAGGGCTACATTTTCTCAGTACCTAAATCTCCATTATGAAGATCTTCACGTAATAAAAATGAAATAACTACACGATAGTGTAAACACAAAATACCATCAGGTGTGGCAAACAACTTATCCCACTTTGAAAAATAGGCCAGAAATCTAGGTTTCAGATTACCATTTTAACTTTCCCGTATAGCACTGAGTATATATCCAAAGTATCTACGAGTTTTTCTAATGAGATGTGAACGTCTCACCAGTACGGTTTGCAATAACAAACATTCTGAAATATTAACAAGTCTCTCTTGTAATGACTGCCAGGAAATGTAGTCAACGTATCGAACTTGTTTGGCACTTCTGTGTTGAACCCTATAGTCATAGGCACTCAAAACAATACTACATCGCTGAACCATAGCAGCTGAAGAACGTGCTAAGAATTTTTCAGGATGGTAAATAAACTTTAAAGCTTCATGATCTGTAACAATGATGAATTTTTTCCAAACAAATATTTATGAAGTATTTTGAAGGCCCGAAACATAGATAATGCTTCCCGCTGAGTTTGTGAATAACCTTTTTCCGCGACAATAAGTTTGCGTGAAACCAATCGACGTTCCTGCCCCAAAACTGCACCAATACCTACATGTGATGCATCAGCAATAAGTGTAGAATATGCACTAGGGTAGTGAGTTTGAAGAACACCATCACTTCGAAGAAACCTTGGTAAACTTCGCAAGCATGACCCTTGTTACTCACACATCTAAATGAATCAGATGTCAAGATTTGAAGTAAACAGTTAACACGACAATAGAAGTTAGGAATAAAACGGGAATGTGTGGTGTTTGAATGGACTAACGATATCTTGGTAGTTGTTGAATGCTCGATTTCGAATTCCAAATACAATACATTCGCTTGTGCTTGTGTCTTACTTCTTAATTCAATTGCGTTATTTCTGGGACTCTTAGTTCGTGCTATAATTCAAATAATTCGAAACGTTATAGAATGGTATTGAAGTGTGTCCATTAGTGAACGTAGTCCTGTAAGATTTTTAGGAGACGGTTCATTTTTCAGTGGGGCTAGTCGTTCAGAAGAACGATGAAAGCTCTACGACCAAACCATCCAGTTCGTAGAACAAAACTTCATCGAAAACATGTTGTGTTGCCTGGAACTGACAGTCGTTTCATATAATACTCAGTCGTCATGTTACATTGATTTGATCTTGTCTTATTGGAACATCTAGGTAAGTTTCAAGACAAGCATTTGGTGGAGGTACTTAGGCAGGATGCAGTATTTGTGGATGAATGTGAGAAAATGCACTAAATATTCGGCCAAAAGGTACATGTTTATTGGCTGAGATGTATCGCTGAGTCACTGGAAAGTAGATCTCTATGTTGACTATTTGTAAATTAAACTGTGAAGCAATTTGTAAGTTAAACACATTTTCTGGGGATGTTGCACGGACGCCTTTGTAACGTAAATCAGAAACTTAATAAAATAATTTTGCATTCATAAGTTGAACATTGGTCACATTCGAAACGAAAAGTGATGTAAAAAATATTTTCTGTGTATGTCGAATTGCGTCGGCTGTATGCACAATAAGAAAGTCAACAGTTTCTGTTATGTCTTTGATCTCTGTCCAATAATATACAGGAGAGAACGTATCTCTATCTAGGTTAAGGCTGGACATGAAAGAATAACCGGTTCAATGCTGAGGCCATAAAGTCTGTTTTCAGATCAACGGCCCTGGCCCCCAAATGCCCTGGTATGGACGAGAGTGGAGAGAGTCCCCTCTCGCTCTCGAAATACTCTCACACGGCCACGCGTATACAGCCTCTGCCAGGGAAGTCTTACTCATTGCCTTCTCGTGACAGGCGGGTTGTTTACGAAAATAAGAGGACGAAAAGCGAATGTCCAGAGCTTTAACCTGATCGCAAACCGATGGTGCACATGGGCTCCAGTATCCTGAAGGAACAAATGGCGTATGAAACAATGGTTGGTCACCGGCTACCATGAGACTGCATTTCCTTACGATGCTCCACTGTCTTGTGGATTGGACCTTCAAGTCAAAGGCTCCGAGTGTGGCCCCCTAAGATAACCACCTGCTTCAGTCTGGGCACCCGGGAAGTATCGAAGCCCACACACAAAAATGCTGAACTCCCTGTAAATATGGAAGCCACTTTTCTCGCTTCGAATAACAATCAAATGATTATTATTACTACTATTATTATTATTTGCCACATTATTCACCCCCTTTGATACCTATACAGCGGCTCGTCTTTGGTGAAAAATTCAACTGTATCTAAACGTTCTTGAGTCACTGTCCGGTTGAAAATTGTATGTTACCACTGAATATGAGTACTGAAGCAGTTTTTCTGAAACCACGTGCACCTGTAGAATTATGGTCTACTAGGATATTAGTACTGCTCGAATAATAGACCTAATCCTAAATTTGTAGATTTGTCATGATATAACTGCCTAATCTATAAGATCTTACGTGGAAGTCACACCATCAACTACACCAACTCACTGTATAGTATCAATTACCAATACATGATGTAGAACAAGGTTAGGCTAGTGAAAGAACAATATATTTATTATGAATAGAAGATATAAGGTAACATTCAGATGGACCACGCCTGCATGGCCGAATCATGCCATTCGATCAACTCCAATTCATTCGACTCCTTGTTCGCGCCTTCTCCATTGTTAGGTATTTCTCCGCGTTAAATATTGAATATCTATTTTCTGAGTAGTCTCGTGTTCACAGCTTTGTGGATTGTGTGGCTATTGTCCAATGCCACTACACACCATTCAAACTGGCTGCTTTCAACGTTCGCAAACATATGCAGGTTGGACAACAGATAGGGCTGGCTATGTCTTTGCAAAGTCTTAATATCGATGTTTGTTATCTATCCAAAACCCCTATTAAAGACTCTGGTGAAGTACTACAAATTCGCTCTTCATCTGTCGCTTCGAAAAGCTTGTTTTACGCGCGCTTATCTGGGGACCCTGTGGCATCTTCGTCTGGTCATGCTGGCGTTGGTGTCGCACTATGCACTAGAGCTGAGGCAGCACTAAACGACTGGATCCCCATTAACAGTCGGTTATGTGCTGTTAGATTAGAAAGTTCCATCAAAGTGAAAAGAAATCAGCGTGAGAAACGATGTTTTTTCGTCATCTCCGCCTATACCCTGACAGATTGCAGCCCGAATGCAATCAAGGATGAATTCTACCACCAGTTAACTGTTCTTCTCCAGAAGGTGCGTTCGACAGATATTGTGGTACTAGCCGGAGACTTGAATGCTCAGGTCGGGCGTCTAGGCACAGAAGAGAGTCGTTTAGGTGGTCGATGGGGGCTTGTTGGTCGCAGGACAGATAACGGAGACCGTCTACTGAGACTGCGCACAAACAACAACCTGCTTCTGGCTAGCACTAACTTTCAGCACAGTCTTCGCCGATGTGCCACCTGGCGACCTCACTCTTCATCTCAAGACTGGACTCAGATTGATCACATTGCGATTAGCTACCGCTGGTGTGGTTGTGTACAAGATTGCCGCTCCTTTTGGAGTACCTATCTGGACTCTGATCATGTCTTGGTCTGCGCCAATCTTACCTTACTTTTCAGTGGCCAACGAAGTGATCGTCACCAAACGATTGATGCCAGCAAGTTGGTTGCAACTTCTGTTGTAACCAAGTATCGATCCGAGCTAGCTTCTAGGCTAGCTACCATTCCACTGAAAAGTATAGATGAGCATCGGTTGCAACTGTATGACGCCATGAAAATGGCGGGTAAAGCTGCTTGCGGCTTCGCGAAACGTCCCGCTTATAAGCACTGGGTTTCTTCAGGCTCCTTACAACTCATCGAAGCTCGTCGGCCTACTCCGGGTGACCGTGAGTTTGACCACAAACGAAGGATATTACGTAATAAAATCGGGCAAAGCTTGCGTAAGGACCGAGAAGCCTGGTGGTCGGAGCGTGCTAATGCGCTGGAAGCAGCAGCTGCATCTGGTAACTACCGGAAGCTCTTCCAACTCATCCGAGTCACTGACAGTAAGAAGTCTGATGTGAGTGAAACAATCTGTGAGGATGACGGGATGCCAATCACTAACATCCATTGACGTCTTGGACGATGGGCAGAATTCTCCGAAGGGTAGTTCAACTGGCCTGCTTCTCCGGCGACATCGGTCAGACTGTCCTGACCTCCATGCCCGCCGATGGCTGATCCACCAAATAAGGCGAAAGTCCGCAAGGAACTCCAACTCTTGAAGCGCCACAAATCACTGGGCCCAGATGACTTACCTCCGGCTCTTTTTAAAGATGGTGGTGACTTTCTGGCTAAGGAACTGACAACGTTGTCCACAAAGTTCTGGGAACTAGAGAGTGTACCAACGTCATGGAATGAGTCGGTAGTTGTCCCTATCTTTAAAAAGGGTTCACGTCGTTCCTGTAACAACTATCGAGGGATAAGTCTACTTCCGATTGCGTCCAAGCTATTGGCTTCCGTCATACTTCATAGGTTGTTCAAACCCCGA